CTACGGGCCGTAGTGATCCATTCAACGTCACTACACATTTATAAAGAAAAACGCATTGAGGAAATACTGACACCTAATGGGCAATGTGTGTCAACAACATGAAACAAGCTGTCGTGGCAATGTGAAATTTACGAGTTCAAAGCGCAGTCAGGGTTCGACTCAGACTATCATTCCTTTCAGATACTTTATACATGTACGATTGTTTTTGGTAAACAGTGGTTATACTATGCAAACGCTGCTCCCTGTAAGTTGATAACAGAATTTCACAGTGAACGTTAACCATGATCTTTCCGACTCTTGGTCCTGAGATCCAACAATATTTCTATCACTCCATCTTTTCAGTTTGCATCCTCTTGCACACGTTCCATTCCTTTGTAACTCTTTCACTTGATCATTGGCCATCAGCCCTTCTCGTGACGCGTCCTGCCCAACCCACTTGTCATAACAGTTTTAATGAGAGTTGGCAGTGCTCCGGCCATCTGGCTCTGGCTCCAGAATGGCTCCAATAGTTCAGCTCCGGGCTGGTTCCACAGCTGAGGAAGACCTCTCTGCTCCATCTGCAGCTCCAGGCTGGCTCCAGCAGCCCCTGCTCCAGCTCTGGAGCTACTCAATTCCAGCTACTTTTTCCCGGCTCAAATTCTGGAGCCCTAGGAACCCATAGTCGGCCATATATTTTCTTGACAGTAACAGCATCGTCCTCTTGCAGTTTAAAAACAAAAAAATTGTACATAGTGTAACCATGTGATAGTTTAATTTAGAATCACACAAGGGCGTCTTTGGGAGGTGTGTGCATGGCGTCTGATCTTCACGGTGGCCAGAAAGGCGTATTCATTTAGCGCAGTTGTTTATTGTCAAGGTGTTTTATTTAATCAATTTATAGTTTAAGTTGTTGAAAGCAACACAACTTTACATGCAAATTTCCCTTATATTGGCGCCTCGGAATGTCCTGTTCAAGTTCAAATGGTGCGCGTTATAAATGTACCGTATTGATGAGACAATTGGCTTTGATTGAAAACTTTCGTGACTGCAGGAATTCATATTCTTTGGTTCTTTCGGTAAAGTGACTTTACCGAAAGAACCAAAGAATGAGGCAATTGGCCTTCTCAGTCCAGCTACAGGTATGAAAGCAACTCCTAAAAGAATGGTGTTGTACTGTCCTCTGCTGTCGACCACGTAGCTCTGCAGCAAGAAACCCTGAAATATCCTGCGAGCAGGTTATCTTGCACAAACTATGAAACTATAAACAATTTTTATTTTTACCAGGTAAGTCCCACTGATATATCTATCTTTTTTTCAGAAGCAACCTGGCCAACAAATGATAGCTCAACGAAGTGGTTTATCATGTGGAAGTCTGTAACAGCCAAATACTGTGAACGCTCCTTTCTAAATGTGGAGGGAAACCATGCGACCACGGGGGAGAACATGCAAACTCCAAATATACAGCAGGCTTCAGGGTCGGGACTGACCCCACCACCTCCTGTATACCTAGCGAGGTAGTTAACATCTCGCCACCGTGTTTAACTTCCGAAATTTAATGAGATCGGGAACATTCACACATGATTTGGTTCACAGGCTAATAATAAATCATAATAATGTCCTTTTATTAAATTATGCTGAAGGGATTACAGAGCATTTTTTTTAATGATGGAGGGTATTTTCTTGATCATTTTATCTTCTTCGTATAGCTGATGTTGACGTAGAGCAACAACTATAATTTTATATGGAGGTGGTTGAGCCGTTGGCAGGAAGACCGAGACGAGACGAAAGTTGTGCGTGAACACGAGGAAGTGAACCACGAGTTGAACAGCACAGAGTGAGATGAGGTCATGATTTTTTGGAATACACCCGATTCGACGCGTCTGCCGCGTGCATTGGAATCCGCGAGAATCTACGTTTTGAGTGAATATCTCTCGCGCGATTTCTCGAGTCCATCGCGTGCGTACGTTGACATTGCGGGGGAGCGGTGGTGTCGTGGTTAGCGCAACTGCACTGCGAATCCGGCCACCCGAGTTCGACTGCCGCTCACGGCCACCGCCGGTGATCAGAACCGGCCCTAGACCTTTGGGGGCCCTAAGCAAAATTTGGTTGGAGGCCCCTTTGATGTATCATTTTTTTCACCCACGAGCTAGCAGTGACTCTAGGGGGCCCTCTGCTGGCCACGGGGCCCTTTGCAATAGCAAGGGTCGCTTAGTGGCTGGACCGGCTCTGCCGGTGATGATTATCCGAACCGGTACTGCGTCTCCTCCTCGAGGTCAAACGAGTACCTGCTGTGTGTGTCTGTGTGTAAAACATCGTCACTGGGGGGGGAGGCAAAGGCGACCGGGCGGCGTGGTGCTGGCCACTCACCCTCCTCTCGTGTGCCGTGCCGGCCTTTGTAGGTTCTACTTGCTAACAGCACTTGCCCCAACAGTCTTTTAAGTTTAACACGCAGGCTTTCGCGACCAATATCCATAATATAGATTTTATGGGTTAGATCGCGAAAATATAAATGTGTCGTTAAACGCGCCACAGCCAAATTAGCAAGGAGGATTTCCCCACAAATCTGACTGTCGCCTGATGAAGCTAGTTGTAATTACTGGCGAAACGTCGTACTCAAGATTGTAAATGTTGTGGCTTTGCTCTTCAACACACCTGTGTGCTGTACTCGTACCAAATTGGCACGTTCTGTTTACGTGACAAACCTTACTAGTTGGCCGTGTCGGGTGGTGGTGGGTTTTACGACACATTTATATATTTACGCGATCTAACTCAAAAACAAGAGGGATACGTTGTCTGTTGAGGCTACACGTGGCGATGGGGTTGGGACTAGTTTAACACGTAGGCTTTCTTGACCAATATCATCCATAATAGATGGGTTTTTTGTTTAGATCTCGTAAATATATAAATGTGTCGTTAAACCTGCCACCACCCGACACAGCCAGCTAGTAAGGGTTGTCACGTAAACAGAACATGCCAATTAGTCACTAGTACAGCACACCGGTGTGTTGCTGAGCCCAGCCACATCAGAAGTGTGGTCACCACATCTACACCTCTATATAAGGAACGAAACAGGTTGACCTCTCCACAAATCTGTCTGTCGCCTGATGAAGCTAGTTGTAATTACTGGCGAAACGTCGTACTGAGATTGTAAATGTCGTGGCTGTACTAGTGACAAATTGGCATGTTGTGTTTAAACTTGATTTGGAGCTTTCGTGACTGCAGGAATTACCCTTTGGTTAAATTTCGATTTAAAGCTTTCGTGACTGCAGGGATTCATCTTCTTGGTTCTTTCGGTAAAGTCACGTAGTAGGGAAGTAATAAAATAAGAAAAATAAAACATAATAAAACAATTGTTTTAATAAAAATAAAACATAATAAAACAATTGTTTTATTAACATAATAAAACAATTGTTTTATTATGTTTTATATTTGTTATTTGTTTTATTAACATTATAAAAACAATTGTTTTATGTTTTATTTTTATTATTTTATTACTTCCCTACTACGTGACTTTACCGAAAGAACCAAGAAGAAGATACCATTTGGTTCTTTCGGCAAAGTCACGTAGAAAGAAAAAATAAATTAAATAGCATACGACGTTTCGATTGCAATACAAGCAATCATCATCAGGTACAAATGAAAGAGAAAACAAACCGAGTAAACTTAGAAATGTAATGCAATACAGCACAGAGAGTTGGCTAACACAACAGTCAACACCCTACCTGGTTGATTACATTCTTCCAAAAACTGCTAAATTTGAGAAACAAAACAGACACGGAGACACACAGAGACACAAGCAGAGAGAGATAACACAGAGACACGTCGAGAGAGACACACACAGTGTTATGTTTACGTGACAACCGTTACTAGGTGGCTTGTCGGGTGGTGGCGGGTTTTAACGACACAGTTATACTGATAGGAACCTCCTGGTTACACCAGCCCACAGGGGATTATTGTGTCCGTCCCTCCGTCGTGCATCCAACAATGGGAGGGGTGGGGCTGGGTGGAGAGGGGAGGGTGGGGAGGGGCTGGGTGGGGAGGGTGGGGAAAGGCTGGGTGGGGAGGGGAGGGTGGGGAGGGGCTGGGTGGGGAGGGTGGGGAGGGGCTGGGTGGGGAGGGTGGAGCTGGGTGGGGGGTGGGAGGGGTGGGGCTGGGTGAAGAGGGGCTGGTCATCCCGTGGTGCCCTTATAAAACTCAACGTTGAACCTACTCACGCCTGACCCTGGCCATTGACCGAGCAACCCAACGTTACTACCAGCTCCCTCCGCAGAAATGTGTTATATCTACGCGATCTAACCCAAAACCAACCTCAATTATGACGTTAAAATCGAAATTTATGACGTTCAAGTTTGCTGTGCGTGACGTCCCCGCCCATTGACTTTCGTTCCCTCCCTCTCTCTGCCTCTCGGCGCGCCGATTGGTCAATAAACTAAAGCCCCCCCTGCCCCGCCCCCCACCGGCGCCTCGCTCCGATTCGCCAGTGGAGAGCGACCGCGCGCTGATTGGTCAATAAACTAAAGCCCCCCCGCCCCCCACCGGCGCCTCGCTCCGATTCGCCAGTGGAGAGCGACCGCGCGCCGATTGGTCAATAAACTAAAGCCCCCCCGCCCCCCACCGGCACCTCGCTCCGATTCGCCAGTGGAGAGCGACCGCGCGCCGATTGGTCAATAAACTAAAGCCCCCTCCGCCCCCCACCGGCGCCTCGCTCCGATTCGCCAGTGGAGAGCGACCGCGCGCCGATTGGTCAATAAACTAAAGCCCCGCCCCGCCCCCCACCGGCGCCTCGCTCCGATTCGCCAGTGGAGAGCGACCGCGCGCCGATTGGTCAATAAACTAAAGCCCCGCCCCGCCCCCCACCGGCGCCTCGCTCCGATTCGCCAGTGGAGAGAGCGACCGCGCGCTGATTGGTCAATAAACTAAAGCCCCGCCCCGCCCCCCACCGGCGCCTCGCTCCGATTCGCCAGTGGAGAGAGTGACCGCGCGCTGATTGGCTGTCGCGCGCTTCCCGTTAAATTCAAATCTCCCCGCCCCCCCCACTCGGTTCACTCGCGTTCGATTACGCGGGAGCACGTCTCGACTTGGACGCGCGAGCTTTTCGACGTACGTCGTCGTTGTTGTTCTTGTTCTTGTAACAAGCACATTAAACCAACGTTTGCATCGACAAATTGAGCCGTAGAGAGCGAGGAATTGCGGCGACGCCGTGGGGCAACACAATGAGCGCTGCGGGACAAGAGCGCGAGTAAGCGAGTTTCCCGCGACCAGCGTCTCGGTGTTGTTTCTATCCCTTCCTCTGGTCTCTTCCCCCATCACGTTTACCCACCTCTCGTTGTTCATGGCGTGTGTAAAATGCTGTCTTTGCATTGTGCTGTGTAACGTTTCAATGGAATCGCTCGCCCGTGCTCACGGCGGGGTTGGGGGGGGTGATGCAAGATGATGCCATCTTATGATGTTGTTTTTGGGAGCGAGGTGGCATTGTTGATGTTAAAACATATCATGGTTGCTGATTCGTAATTGCGATTGTTCCTAAGTCTAGGACCGTGGTGAGCTGAGATCGATCTCGCCCGGGATGAGGTCGCGCGTTCGATCCCAAAAATTCTGACGTCCGATTTTCCCCTCCACATTTAGAATTAATAACACGCGCGTTTGACATGATCGGACACTTTTGTTGAGCTATCATTTGTGGCCAGGTCGCTTCTGAAAAACTCGCTCTATAAATCAGTGGGCTTTACCTGGTAAATTAAACAAATGTGTTTCGTTTAGAGTTGAGATGCTATTTAAAGCCGAATTGCATCGTTTCGTTATTGTATGTTTGTGATGTATCAGTAGCTTTGCCTTAGATCCTACACAATACACATCCACATTTTGACTGCCACACAAAGCAATAGTTGTGGATGTCGTGATTTGTGTTCACAGAACTCTTAACAAAGCGGTGTCCATGATGCCGAACAACGTGGGCGATGAGTCTGTGATCATAATCAGCGATGTTGATGATTTTAACCAAAGCAGCAACGACTTGTCCACACGGTGTAAGTTGCGGTGTGACTATAAGTGATGCTATCCGTGTAATTGGATGTGTCATTGTGTCTTGGGCACTTGCAGGATGGTATGATTGCTCTGGTTGCTGCATTATATTTCATGATGCGATATAATATTAAAGTTATAAAATGCTTAACTGTAAACGTTTGCATGAACTTAAACATTGTTTCTTTATGAAGTGTCGTTTTTTTCTTTTCTGAATTTTATATAAATAGAGAACTTAGAAGTTGGTAAACTGCAGTGAACGCAACAAGCTTTCCATAGGTATTTTAATCGTTACAGCTGACATCACTTATAATGAACATGCTACACAGGACATGATTTATATAATGCATACAGTAACACCCCAATGTAAACTTTAATTGTGAATTTTTGTGGGTTTACTCTCCAACACACCATTGTGCTGAACGAATTGGCATGTTTTGTTTACGTGGCAAATCTTACTAAATGGCTGTCGGGTAGTAGTGGGTTTAACGACATTTATATTTACGCCATCTAACCGGAAACAAACCTCTTATTGATATCTTCTTGTTTCTTTCGGTAAAGTCACGTAGAAGGGAAGCTTCTGCCCCTGCCTTTTAAACAATGGAATATTGAACACAGTGCATTTTTAACACAGGTAATCAATGTCATAGCATTGACAAACCGCCAATAATTTCAAGTATTGCTTAAAAGTTTTGTGAAATATACTGTTTTTTTTTGGTCTTCACATGTGTATAGCAGCTGATGCAGACGACAGCATCATTGTCACCTTCAGCAAGAAGGCTGAAGTCTTGCCTCATGCCCGCAGCGACTGCACATCCAATATTTTCAGGTGCTCTACATACACTTTAATCCATTTTTGTCTTGAGTAACTCAAAATAAATAATCATTCGCGTCCGTTGTGGCGTATACAAATAACTTTTTCTTTTTTTAATAGGCAGACAATATATATTTACGATATCTTGTGTCTCCATGTAAAAAATTGAAGACATATCTTACATAACCGATCAGCTACAAAGCCTTCTACTGTTTCATCAGCTTGCATGGAGCAATGCTGGTTAACTGCTGATCATATTGGCAAGGACCCATCCCCCAGTTATATGCAAAGAACATAACTAAAAATACAAAACAACTTAAAATAAACATTCGTGTCATGGAGAATATTAAATAAAATAAAAAAGCAGACCGTGTCTCATTTTTTGCATATCCAGCTCTCAACATAAAAAAATGTCTTTCTGACAACCCATCAGCCGCACGGCTTTATGGGAGTGCATCATTTTAACAGCAAGAGCTGAATCGGACTTAAAACAATTACATTTGAAAAATATTGGTGCAAGGAAAAAGATTTGGTTTATGTAAAAAAAATTGCGTTCATCACGATTGTACCAGTGAAAAATTATGTGGAAATATTTTTTCTCTGAAATGCTGAACAATTATAGAACGTGTATTTTTGTATTTGCAGGCCTGCAGAAAATGAACTTTCTTGTCCATTGAGCATGAACAGTGCATTCTGTGAACAGTGTTACTGCTACGTTTGCGATGGCCTGGCTTCACAGGTATTTGGGCGTGCATTTTTTGTGCCTGCACTAACATAAGCAATTAAATGAGTTGCCTGCAAAATTGTATTATTTCCCATTTGTATCCCAGTCCACGTTGTTGGTGCACAGGTTGTGAAATTAATAATTACAAATTTGCCCTCCTTTTTAAGTGCAAGTATTGGACAACACTTGGAATATTCCACTGCAATGCACACAACAAGAGCAGTTTCTGGAAGAAAGCGCGGAATGTGGCTTCTAATGGTGGCATCCTTGCAATGTTCAACCTCAACCCCGAGCTGATTGATGCTGACATAAAAAATGCAGGTTTGTACTTGTAATACATCTAGGTAACACTTCACGTAACATTTTATTACATCCCTAATTTGTGTTATACCAAACTTTACGCACACTCGTTTTGCCACTGAACTTCCTGCCTTGACTAGAGACTAGTGCAGCAGTTCTCTACCTGTCGATCATACCCCTGGGTAGGCCTCGGTAAGGTAATTTACCCTCTTTACCGGGTAAAAGGGTAAAGGTAAAGGGTAAAAATGTCGACATGCCAAGGGGTAAGGTCAAGGGTAGGGTCAAGGTAGCTCGGAAGAATTACCCGGTAGGGTAAAGGTAGCGCGAAGTATTACCCGGTAAATACGGTACCTTGTTTACCGCTAAAACCTCCATGGCGCAGTCCATGGCCTCCATTTAATGTGTAATTTAAAACAAACTTTATTAAAAACACGCTTTTATAAAATTTGCCAGTAATGACAGAACTCCACGACTCCAGGAAGTGGCCCCGATGCTTGCAATAACTTAAGGGGCCGTGGTCAATTACAGCCAACGTCAGTTGACCGTGGACAATTAGACCCAAGCCGAAACATAACATGTGAAAAAGGATTTTATAATAGAATATAGTATTGTCATCAGTGACATAAGTATACCAAGTTTGCAGTCGATACCACATTAGGAAGTGGGTAAAAATGTAGTTACAAGATTTGAGGATACGACGACGACAATGACAACGACGACAATGACAACGAGGACAACAATGACAACAAGCTTGTAAAATTGGAATCCTCGAGAGTATTCTATATGAATGAAGCGTTCTACCTAACATTTACCGTTATAAACCTTGTTCATGTGTAGTAGTTCCCTAGTAATTACCCTGTAATTGGGTAATTGATATGGGGTAAGGGTAAAAGGTAGGCTCGTTGCTTTTTACCTTACCTGCTAAAGGGTAAAATATAGGGTAGAGTGATTGTATTGTGGTAAGGCAAAAGGTAGGGTAAAAATAGGCTCGTTGTTTTTAACTTTTACCTTACCTTGCGGAGGCCTACCCCTGGGTGCACTGGCGGAGCCAGGGTGGCACCGTGCCTCGGGATTTCGATCAGATAATTGGGGTTTATTAGTAATAAATCGTTATTTTGCGTCCCCCACTGCCACTGTGTAGCATATTATTGTGTGCCAGGGACTCTATGAGATGGTAGGACAATAGTCTCAGTCCAAAATTGACAATAAGTAATGGCAAAGCAAGTGATTCACAGAATTGTGCGCAGTTGCGTATACAGTATGCGACTTCCCTGAAGGCATAACTTCAGCGAGCGCGATGCCGATCACACACGGTTCGAATTCGACCCTCGATCAATGGTTGCGCTATCGCCGCACACGCGTCTAATAAAAAGCAAGGGACAAGTCCTTACTTACTAACAACTCCTATCATTTTTCATTGCTGAAGGGGTTACCCCCTTTACCTGAAAATCCTGGCTCTGCCATTGCCTGGGTGGCATTAAATACTTGAGGGGGGAGGGGCATGCTGCAATATGGTTACTGTGCAATTGGGAGAAGTTTTACAATTATTTATTATCGAAGTTTAATTGAGCCTTCACTTAAAATGTTCAATCTGGTACTATGATTGGAGTCTCAATACAAAGGGTGCTTTGGTAGGGTAATTTTTATACATTTTCATGACTTTGGTAGTCAAATATTCAACAATGCCCATCCTATACGGTACATGGTTGCACACAATCTTTAGAATCTGTCACTTGATTCAGTCAGATCAGGTCAGATGAAGTAGCCCAATGCATTTCGTTAAAATGAAATAATTCTAAATAACACATTTCCATATTTAATGCATTTGCAATAACACGAGCATAGTGTATTGCTTTTGATATTTTAAATACTCTGCCTGTTTATTACATACTACCCTTTTCCCATCCAAGGACGGGTGTATTGCAGTAAATCTGAAACTTGCAATTGAAAATCAGACCGCGACGTGATATTCATTGCATCCATTCGTGTGCAATTTGTAATGCCCCGGTGACACTTATTTAATTTAAAGGTTATAATCCCTTGTTCATCATGACGTCCTTTTTACTTCTACGTCTCAATAGCGTTACGGAGGTCGCGTGACGTGAGGGTTCTGCCTTTATTTGAGGGTTACAAGTTGACGCTGAGGAGGGGGGAGGAGGTGCCTCGGCCCCCCATGTGGCATGACGTCACCCGATAATTATTATTAATGGAGGGAGGGGGGTTCTCCATGCGGAGTGACGAACACCCGCTCATGATTATTAATTATGGGGCTCTCAGCACAGTAGGACTCGTAGCTAGAAATATTTTTTTCTCCTTCTGAAAAGGGGATTTGGTCATGTTGGTACCGAGTTGGATTATTGTTACTGATCTGTGAGCGATATGTCTGGTGCATGCAGGAAAGCTCCTGGAGACGTTCCTCATGATCTTGAAGCCTTTGTATTGCCAGTACTTTATCGGTACACGAGAGCCAGGAAATGCATGTACCTGCACTTGCCACGATGGCGAAGCCAGCAATCTTCCCGTATCACCCTGCCAATTCTGCAATTTGCACCACTTGACTGTCAAGGAGCATTTGTAAGATAATACACATTTTTAAAAATATGATTTAATGAGTTTAACCTTTGTAAAATTTAAAAAAGCATATGTATAACACTGCTAAAATATATTTTTGGAATATGCCTGTACAGCTGGTTCGGAATTAATTTTAACCAGAATCCTCATCGGATGTATTATATTCTCCCCGTACTTTTAAAATGTCTCATGATTCTGTGATATGACAATCCATCTCACTCCTACATATAAACTGATCAAATAGCACCTTGGATTAGCACCGTTGGCTACGTACAGGGCGAAAGAACTTCAACATACATCACTCCATGGCTGTTGTCGTTTGAGGTGCATTCTACTTTTTGTCAAGCAGGCATCATCCCTTTTAGCAATATCTCATACCTGTTAACCCCTTATCAGTGCCTGTCTTATTCCAGACCAATTCGGTCCTTATTCGTCACCCCGTACCCTCATACATCTCAACGTTCATCCTACAAAGTCCCCATTACAAGAGAGAAACACAAAAAAATGGACAAAAATTTGCTTTTAATCACGTTCCCGTACAAGAATACGGGTAAACCGTATGGGCTAGATATGCAATATGGTCCTGTCTACTTTTATTAATAATCCGTATGGCGTCTGACTTGAATTTGTTCCAATATTTATGTGCCATTAACCATTGGTATAATTAAGTCGTCCTTTTAACAGAACTAGAAGTCTGTTTATCTAGGAATAGTTTACCTATATTCTGATTAGTTTTACATTAAATGTTTTTATATTTAACATTACAAGTGTACATACAACATTTATTTTATTCTACAGATCTTCCATACAAAAGGGATATGATTATTGTCTCTTACATGCTTAAATATAATTTTAAAAAATTGTTTCAAACAATAATAAAAATGGCAAAATTTATAATACCTTCAGAAAATACATTTTATTTTAGAAGTCTGTTTGTCCAGGAACCGTTAACCTAATTTCTTATTAATTTAACATAATGTTTTTATATTTAGCTTTAAAAGCACGCATGAAACATTTATTTTCGTTCTATAGATCTTCCATGCAAAAGCAATATGAATATTGTCTCTTCCATGCTTAAATCTAATTCTAATTATACTTTTTTTTAGAAACATTTTTTTAGATAAATGTATAAAATGTATAATAGATGCAAAATAGATAACACCCTTAAAAAAACATTTCATATTCATGTTTTAGAATAATGCAATTGTAGATGAGGAATGTCCTTAATTAGGTTTTTGTTTGGAAGTGTACATGTACAGCCTCTTTATCAATCCTCTGCTGGATGAGGGCCTCCCCCCGCTTAATGTGGACCAAGGAGCATTTTTTTATACTTTTAGCCATGCTGGTCAGTGTGCGTTGACGAAGGCAGGGAGCAAAGACGTGGAAACACAGCAATGTTGCCTCACAACCGAGCCCCCACAGCCCAATAACAATCTGACAACCTGTTTTGTGCATATCAAGACTCAAACCCTGCTTACCTTCCGATATCTGATGAGATTAAGTGCATTCCGGGTGACTTGATTGTATCGGCTTGTCATATGTATACATTAATATATTTGTCAAAATATGCCTTGTTATCTGGCTGCAGTTACCAGCCTGTGTTTTCTGCAGTGGAGTCCTTCCTCAACGTCTTGGGTTCTCTCGGCCCCAGCGGGCAGCTGCTGGCCATGCTGGGGGTCGCAAAAGAGATCATGCTGCACACGGAAATGCCGATGTATGTAGCCTTGCTGCAGTCATGGACATTAACGTTTTTTTAACTTTTCGAGCATGGAATAGATTACCCCCCCCCACAGTTTAATAAATTGTCAAAGTGCGATTTAAAGAATAAAATTAGTTTTTAAACATTGTAGTGAATGTAACGCTTCCTGTGGCTGCAGAATTTAAATAATGCAATTGCATGCAGTATTCAAATGGGATATAAGTGATCCTTAACCCGATTTGATGCATGCACCTTGAGCATAAGAATCATTTTTTTATAAATTAATCCATTGTTGCCTGCAAAGTGATGGAACATTAAATCCAGCTCTTAAAGGATTGGTTCACGAGTTAACACTTACTATTATTTCTGACTTCAATACTTTGGCTGCAATAAATGTATCGTAACCTAATGTTCTCTACATCTAAGATTATAAAAAATATATTTTAAGTATCAGGGATGTGGATTCTCTTAATTGTCCCAAGACCTTATGAGTTGCTCATTAATATTAATGGTTTAATATGCTGGATAAAAAGTATGCTACAAAATTACTTGTAATAAATCATTTTGTGGTATCAATAATGAATAATATGGTTTGGTTGTAAATTCCAATCAATTGGTTCTGTTTAAACACCTCAGCCGTGGCAGATCACTGTTACAACTCAGTGGGCTCACATGATATTGACTTCTCCAAGACAGAGGTTCTCTGCAAGCCATCTGGCTATCATGAGAGATTCGTTCATGAGGCGATCCACATATACAAACACAGAGACAATTTTAACCGAGAAGATGGATTCTGGCTTAGCAATCATTGGAAGGACGTAATAAACCATTTCGACACACATTAGGGTGGGTAGAATAATACATAGTGTTATATTAAATGTATAAGGTATAGGTTGGTTTACAGCAATACAGTATATAATTTAATGTTGGCAGTATATAGTACGGTATATGCTCGTGTGATGCAATAGAATAAAGTTTAGATGGAAGCATATTATATAATTTTTACGACGTAGAATTGTAATGTATTACTTGCTGTTAGTAACTCAGCTTATTGTAGAGTATAGTAAGTATACTGATGGTGCTATGCAATTTATACTTTAGTTTTTTATGTAGTTTATACTTTAGTTTTCTACGTGGTTGTTGAGTAACTGCAGCTACATATCATTAACATTCCTTTCCTTTGTTACTGCTAATCCCTGCACCCCCCCTTGGTGCTGTTGACCCTGCATAATGCATGGGTATAATATGACTTTGAAACCCCCCCGCCCACCTCCTACGCATTTCCATGAATATGCTAAATTCCTCTTCATATGCACATTCTTTTGTTAAGGCGCTCTTCTTCCACCTCCAACGCAGCTTATATATAAGCTCCTAGCTTGGCAGTGTCTCATTCTTCACCTGAAGACGGCTGCTTGCGTTGTAGCTGAAACGTCGTGAGAATTATTTTATTTTATTATGTTTTATTTTTATTATTTTATTACTTCCCTTCTATGTGACTTTACCGAAAGAACCAAGAAGATGGTTCTGTATAATTTTGCACAATTGTCTGTTCAATTGTAAAATGGGTGAATTTCAACACTGTTTAGTCACTGGGAATGCGCTCTTCAAAAAACAACCAAGGAAGCCTCATGCGTCCCATCAAGTTGCTCAGTCTGTGACTAAAAAAAGAAATGGAAAAATGTAATGTGTAATCGGTGACAAATTAAGCAAAGATCGTTTCAGTTCATGTAAAAACGTGATCTATTTTATGTGTTGGTGCTCTACATGTGTACATCGGTAGCATTTGCAATGATGTATTTAATTTTACACGTATATTAAAATAATCATTGGCAGTATTGTTGCTCTAGGACTTCCTCTTGCGTGGGGTCAAGCTGGAAAAATTTGTTAAAACCAGCTGTCGTGCACTTGATGGAAATGTAAGTTTGATTATTTGCTTTCATTTTAATGTCTACGTAACATAACTGGGGCCTTCACCAACACACACTGACCAGTAGTGAATTATAATCAAATAACCCCCACGACCTGTATGGTGTGCATAGGCCCTCTTCAGTATTTTCACCAGTGCTATTCAATTACATAATTAAATAAATATGTATTAAATTAACAACCTCCTAGGGTATATAATAATCTTGTCTATGACATACCTAAAAGAAGTATTCATTTTAAATGGTTGTCTTACATAAGATACATAATAATACTGATATGGAAGTCGTTTGGGTTTTGTGTTGTTATTTTGCATGCATTAAATAAGTCTGGCTTAATACAGTTTAAATATTTTCTTTTGGCTGTTTGCTTTAATGTTATGCAGGCTTTATTATTTTACAATACTTTATAACAAACAAACAAGTCACCTTAAATGCTTCAAGTGTTTCCTTTGGAATAAAAATGTACATCGATACCTTACCCACATGCAATAAGCCCAATGTTTAAAATGGATCTGTTTAAACAACGATTTACCAGTGAGATGAATTGGCTCAATAAAATGCTTGTTCTTTTGGAATTAGAATGTCTGAACAGAGGTGAAATTTATTTCAAATATTAATGGACATTAACATATTTCTTCCGTAAACATATTTCATCCACTGACTATTATGTTTCATGTGTCGACGGTGAACTAGGAAATATTTGTCTATTCTACCTACATTTTTCCACAGGGAATTTATTCAAAATGACAAAAATTAGCTTAATAAAGTATTATCTGTACTAAAGCTCTGCATTGTAACAATTGTATTATTGTTAAATAGGATCCAGTTAAAGGCCCGCATGATACAGGTTGAGCATAAGCTGCCACCTGCGTTACTGAAGGGGCTGAAGATCTTCTTCTCTGGCCTGTTCTTCCCAATCCACTGCCTTCGCTTTTTGAACAGGTGAGATGGGTCAGCACTGCAATGAGACACACACTGGTCTCGGTCTAACATGGCAAACAATAACTGTTACCACCATGGCAGATACAACCCATTTTTATAATTCTAAATGTGTCAACCTGCCCAGTAGTTCGACATACCCATTTACAATCAGCTATATTATGAACAAAAGTATTTTTTTTTCTTAAAACATTCTATCATTCAGATGTGACCAGATGGCTGAGACTGTCTGGGGCACATCTCATGCTCTGCTAGAATAATAGGTTAGAATCTTGACAACCATTTGTAATTAAACTGGTTGTATTTTCTCAACCAAGTTTTCACTTAATATGGATCACATTTCTATTTTGGTTGAAATGTAAACAATACCTCTACAGCAGAGCATGGAGAAGGTTCAGAGAAAGAGGCACGTTCAGGGATTTTAGAGATTGAGGGTTTTCAGTTTTTGTTATATAACCTTGGCTGTTCTCAACATTCGGTGATAAAAAAAATAACCTGGAGGAATTCTAAAGCTAAAATTGTATTCTTATGACATGACAACGATTTATAATGAGCCAAACTACTTTGATATCTCATCTGAAACTATTCTACCAGTGATCCAACGATATGTCATTTTGGATTTTTTTTGCTGGTCTGGTTGGGAGAATTAATATTTTGACTTAAATAGCTTTGATCCCTTTATCCATAAGCGTGCATAAGCAATATAATTTCTCGATTTCCGTGTCAAGTTTCATGGGTTTTCTGTTTTACCAAGTGAGAACTTACCAAAACAAGAGTTTTTTGCAACAAGTTATGATATAGTAGGTCAAGTCAATATTTTTGCTTTACGTGGGGCCTTTTTGGCAAAAATCTGCCACCCAAAGTGCCATCACACCTATAAACATAAACAATGTTGTCCTGTTTATAGCTGTTCATAACTAAACTTCGATTGATACATTATTATATGAGTAGGACAAGTGAGGCAGTATGCTGACATTGCTTATTTAATCTATTTTATGTAATGCACACATTTGTTAATTGCATGTGTCTGATTTGTGGCATAGAATTTTTACTCTTTTTCGCTTGCCAGCATGTTTATCATTGGCTGGGATGAGCCCATGATCTCGTCTGTGATGAGGGGACAGAACATTTCTGGCATATTCTACATAAAAGGAAAGCGGCAACTCCTACATGAAGACTTTGACGTGGTGGTGGCTCGCAAAAATAAGCTGGTGCAGGAAGAAAAGCAAGTCGTTTTTGTTTCACTCAAATGCACACTACTGTAATTGTGTGTAATTATGAGACTTTTTCGATTTAAAGCGTTCGTGACTGCAGGGATTCATATTATTGGTTCTTTCGGTAAAGTCATGTAGAAGGGAAATAGTCAAATTAAAAAAAATTAAACAATAAAATTATCACGACGTTTCGATTGCAACACAAGCAATCATCAGGTGTGAAAACCCACAGCAAGAAATTTTTTGGAAAAAAAAAATCTTAAATTATTTTTTCTTAAAAATAGATATTTTTCTTTAAAAAAAATTCTTGCTGTGGTTTTCACACCTGATGATGATTGCTTGTGTTGCAATCGAAACGTCGTGAGAATTTTATTGTTTATTTTTTTATTGCCCTTTTACGTGACTTTACCGAAAGAACCAAGAATTATTGAGGCTGTCGAAAAACTATGTATTAAGTTTGAAGGCTGGTTGAATTCAATTTGGGGCAGTAGGAAAACGCTGGCATGACCTGCACAAAGCACTTGGGATGACCTTTGCACCTGTTTATCTGAAGTAAACCTTAACCACAACAAACACGTTAAATTAAAGTAAATGCCTGTGTATATTACAATTGCTATTTAATAGCATAATAATATTTAATAGCCATTGTAAACAGTCAATGTATACATTTGTAATGCTTAAAATATGCTAATTCACATAATTTCCCAAAGAGTGAAAGCTAGTGAGTTCACGATGCACAATAAATGCCCATGGGCAGAGCCAGTGAATGTGGGTGCATTATTGAATATGCTAACTTCATCCATGAGACTAATGTTAATTTGAACCTTTTGGGTCACATGCTTGATGGGGTCCTGTGCAGCCTGGTTCTTCATTGAACAGTCACTTGATTAAAATGGCTACTCTCAGCGATTTTAATAAAATAAGAGTATTTTTTTCAATGATGTGAAATGTGACAAGTTTAGTTTACCGGTGTGTATACTCATCTATGTTTTTAACCTGGGTGAAATGTTATCATGTGCTTTTCGTTTCTTTGATTTCTCTTGCATCAAAAACGAATTTTTATTTTTAAGGTTAAATATGTTTGTGATATTTAAGAGAGCTAATTGCCTTTTTGATCCTGTGCCCAGGTACCAGGAACTCATTAGATACCTCAAGGTTGTGCTTACGCACAACATGAATGGGTAAGGGAATGCATTGAACAATAATTTTTATAAACATTCTAAGGTTCAATGTGTTTATACATTCTGTTCGTTTGTCTCAGGGCGTCACAATAACGTTTATAAACATGATCTACTGTGCATTTTAGTTAAGTGCTGATATTACATTCATTCTCTATACAAGACCAGTCAAATTGTTCCAAAAAAAAGGGTCACAAAGCGAAACTTCTTGAGACGGCTGCCTCCCAGTAGCGCATACAGTACAATAACACCTCTATTTCTGGAGCTACCTGCCTAGATTGAAACTTCCTATTTTGAATAACTTATAATATTTGTACTATGATGCATTTCCAAACTTCGTAACTTACCATTTCACACTATAAACACTGCATAACTTTCCATACATATTATAAACAGACAATACATTAATATAATATACATGACATAAATCAAAGAAACGGTGTACTGTACAGGCATGTCTCCCTTATTGAGCACTCTTTCTACAAGAATTCGCTATCACGAGCAATGTCATTTTAGACTCATTTGTTCGCAAAATGTTCGTTTATGTCAACTAACTGGAATTAAAACTCCAAACTATACTTTATGATTGTACAGGTTTTAACAGTTAATAAACACAGTTTTAATTGACGAGCATTTATACTCGTTGGAGTAACTGGACTAAAGTAAAATTTGTTTAAAGGGGGAAAATGTTATTACTGTGTTAAGTGACCATGCGGGGGTGTACAAATGGATATATCTTCCTTATTTGCTTAACTCATCTCCTTGTACCCTCTGCCTGTGATGCAGATTGCATAAGCTACAGTATGAGATCCCAGTGTACCTTTGCAAAATTAACAAGATGTTTGATGCCTTGCGGTGGATGGCATCATCCCCAAAGTGCACCAGCAATCTTCCTCCCACTGTCATCAAGACAATGATCGTTAATGCCTCCGAACTCATCCATGACACAGCGGCTCCAGGTACCCTTGGTTAATGTTTGCTCCTTTGCACAATTGTATCGTTTCTGTATTAGCCGAGTTGCTACCACAAGTGAAGCATGAGCACACTAGGCTAGCAATCCAGAAGTCGCTGGTTCAGTCTTCAAGTGCGACCATTAAAATAATGGGGCAGGGTTTTATTATTGCGGTTTTGTGTGTGTGCGACAAATTAATTTGGAGTGCAATTTGAAATTCATGGGGTTGTATTTTGAATGTTTGCAGCCGTAGCACGCATGACAGTGGCGCAGATTTTAGGACCACGAAAGATCCCCACACGCACCTCTCCCTCATTCTGTCTTCGTCTGCCACTGTTTACACTCGTGCTTTCCTTTACAGTTTTTTGGACTTGCGTACTGTGCAGTATAATATTCCTTTATATATTGATATTTGCATTTGACATGTATTATCTTAATTCTTTTAAAAGGTTAATTTTATAACAATCATACTATACAACGGTGGTTTTCGACCTTTTTTGACTACTGTACCCATTATTGAATTTTGTTTCAACTGACTACTCCTTGCATGACCCAACATGGTTCTGAGAAATAAATGTATGAATAATGAATGTCAGTATTTTAACCAATTATCCATTTTGTGAGGCATCCTAACTAGCTATCAACTGCAAGTGAATAAAAAATGCAATGGACGCTCTGCATGCACAACGTAATTTGCTCGCACTTGCTGGTTACTCTTGGAAACCCAAATTGTTTATGATCAATCGGTCTAGAAAGGTATTTTATATCATTCTAGGTTACCATATGGATTAATATTTTATCGTTGTTTATCTTGGCGTATTCTTACATTATTATTTGCCAATGATTCTAATGTTACCAATATAGTTATTTTTTGGTCTGTCTGCGTGTCTGTCTATATGCGCGCCGTATGGCCCGGGACGAAAAAGCTCTTTGTATTTCACATCTGTCAAGTTTAAAGTAGTTAAATTAACAATGCATTCCCTTTTATAAGCACGGGGTGGTGCCAGAGCACGCATCTGCGCATGTGTAGTGGGTTTGTATGGAGACGGAGTCTTCTTAGGAGGCAACACGTATCCTAATATAAACACCCAGGTCTGTCATTCTGTCATTGTGACTAACACGGCACGGATTGGTTGAAGTGCGTCACGTGACCGGGACCAAGCAGTCAAGCAGAGGTGTGCCCCTCACAAACATGTACGCCCCTGAACAGGCACGTGTGGGATGACGTCCCCGACGCGCATGTATGGGCGGTAACGTCAGCTCTCTTTCACAACACCTCAGCCGCGTTCGTGTGTAAAGACGTCACGCCTCCAACCACGACACGCGCACAGCCTGCGGTGGGCCTTCATCCAGCAGTGCATTTGAACACAAAAAATTAACCCGTAAAAGCAAAGTTTTTCACTATAAATCCTTTATATGCGTGGCGGCTAGAGTCCTCTCGTCCTCTGGCTTGAGATGGCTGCCACCTATGGGTCAGATGATTGTCTACCAGCATTACGCAATTGGTAATTAAATATTTTTAAAAAATTCCCTAAACAGTGTAACATTTTGGAAAAAAAATTTCACGAAAATTAATTGTCACGCACGAGTCTGTGGAAAATGTCAGCTCGATTGGATCACGGGAAGTGGGTTAAAAAACGACCGAAAGATTTGCACGGTCGTAAGCAAGCAAGCACGCAAGCAAGAAAGCGAACTTAATATAAAGGATTTAAAAAGTACAGCACTCATGCACAGTGCTGACTTTTTCCACTATGAAAGTCAAATAATATAACAAACACACAGTTCTGTGTGTCATTCTGTCTGTCATTGTCACTAACACGTAAACTTGCCAAAATATTTATATAGAAGAAACTAGGTTGTTTATAACAGTAATAACGGTAACACCAGGTCCCTAACAGGAAGGGGTATTGGCCCCTTCTACCCACAACCTAAGGAGGTACAGCCTCCAGGCTAACGTGCCCTAACCACTGGGGCTAACCACTCTTCGGCCTTCCGGCTAGCGGGACCGAGGGGAGGCTGACCCGACCCAGCCAAGGTCCTCGGGTCTCGACCGCTGGCCCACACAGACCCGGCCCTGAGAAGGACGTCGGGTCGGGGGATCCTCGGGGTCCTAGCCTATTGACCACTGGCCTCACTGAGCCCCGTCGCCCTTATAAGGGCGACGGGGCTTGGGGTCCAGGGTCCTATCTTCAGGTGGGCTTCTGGATTGACTCGAGCCGCTTTGGGGTCCGGCTTTTATGGGGCTCCCAGGGTCACTCCTCCCCTGGTCTCGCCCATCATCTGGAACCTTCTGGAGGGACCTGGATTGTTGCGCAATCCCCCCCAGCCCCACACCCGGGGGCCTGGGGTGTCCTCCGGTTCACAACCGTCCCCCCAGGTTGCCTGACCCACGAGTCCTACTTGGCACAGGCCGAACTCGCTATTGCCCCCTGTTGGCCCCTGACTGGAGGGACCTGCTCAACCATAGTGGTGGCGGCGTACTACGCCCAACAATTACCCACCACACATGCGCGAGAAAGCCAGGTCCGTGGTGGTCGTTGCCCTAGCAATGCATACACGCAATTGGTGGGAGGGGAATTCTCATTTGCGTAAAAAATACACAAGGCGGAGGTAAATCGTTTACAGTGTGATATCCTCGTCTCAATATGTGCACTTATAGTCCGTAGATAACATTATTGTAGGGCAGGGCGATGGTGGGGTGGGTAGCAGCCCAGCCTGCAAAGGTGCCACCTCGGCCAGCTGGACAATCTAGGCAAGGCCGGGGGGCTCTGCACGGGACTAGGCTTCACCACTACACTCTGTGAAGTTAGTGTTATAGAGTTGATATCTAGTATAGAGTCGGTTTCTATGACTAGAGTAGGTACATACTACTGTAGAGTTTGTAGTTACTGCTACTATAGAGCGGGCATGGGGGGGGGGGGGTATAGCAGCCCCACCCCAGCCAGCCAAGGTGCCACCTTGGCCGGCTGGGCAATCTAGACAAGGCCAGGGGCTCTCCACGGGACTAGGCCTCACCACGGCACTCTGTACTTATTATAGAGTCGATATATACTATTATAGAGTTGGTAGATACTACTGTAGAGTCAGGAGATGCTACTGCAGAGTCAGTAGATGCTACTGTAGAGTCAGTAGATACTGCTATAGAGTAAGCAGATACTGCTATCGGGTTGGTCGTTACGACTATAGTCGGTGGATACTACTATAGTCATTAGATACTTTAGAGTCGGTATTCACTACTATAGAGTTAGTTGATACTACTATAGAGTCAGTAGATACTATTATAGAGTCAGAAGTTACTACTATAGAGTTAGTTACTACTGTAGTGTTATTCACGGAGGTGCACACTTTGACTTGGAGGCAACACGTTTATTACAAGGCCCCAACAGGGCTACTACATGAACGTACACACGCTAACTAGACCCCAACAGGGTCATTACAGTAGCACTCTTGTGACAGTGGCTGGCGCGAACACCATAGTGACACCATTAACGTCACTACGCTACTCTAGTCAGGGGATACTACTGTAGTGCCTTCAACTGAGTCGCACACTTAGACTTGAAGGCAGCGCATGTATTTAGTTCCAACACACGGGGTAAACCTTCCCCTTAAGACGATAACAACCTAGGGTGGTGACCACCTGGCTAACTACACTAGTTAAGGTAACTGGTAACTACGGACCAGGGACCAACAGCATGCTGCCCGGGTCCACGTGCTGGAAGACTCGGAGGACGGAGATCGTAGACGAAGGGTTGCTTTACCGGGATGAACAACCTCGATCCCTCGCGGGACTTTACTTATATTCTTTGCGGCGAGGCCGTTTCCGCCCTTGGCCACGCCCTCCTTCCAGAACCATCGGGAAGAACCTGGGATCCAATCACGTGACCCTCCTAGCCCCCTCTTGGGGGGCCCCCCTGTCATCTCAACCAGTTACGTGTCCTCCCGGGACAACCAGAGTGCCATGGCCTCACATGACCTTCCCCTTAGGTCGGCACACACACACCGTGCCCCTCTAGGGCCGGTACTGCACCCACAGCATGGTGAAATCCAGCGATGTCACTCCACTACTGTAGAGTTTGGTAGATACTGTTATGTAGTCAGATACTACTACAGTCAGTATATACTGCTGTTGAGTTGGTATATACTACTATAGAGTCAGCAGATATTACTTTAAAGTTAAAAGTTACTACTATAGTCAGTTGATACTACTATAGTTATTAGATACTACTGTAGAGTCGGTATATACTACTATAGAGTTGGTTGATTCCACTGTAATGTAGCTCTCAGACACCGTCTTGTCTTCTGTATATTTATTATGAATGAAGTCCACTGACAACTCAACAAGTAACTGTGAGTGACTCTGTACACTTGGGTAGTGAGACAACTCTATTCAGAGACAGCATAGCTTCTTGTCTCAAGACAACTCGCAGACGATGGAGACGACCTGATCCAAGGCGACAACGACGGTTTCCCACAGCAAACAGCCCACAGCTCCGGCTCGCGCTGGTTCTTATCCTCACTCGGTCCGGCCACACCCTTATTCCCGAATTATCCTCGCCGCTCCTTACAACATTCGATGTCCTTCTGATTTTTTGTGTATGCCAGCAATCTCTTTTATCCATGCCTTCACAGCATCCCGTGAGAAGGCATCTTTGTTTCTCAGTCTTGCACTGAGAATAATTTTTCTCAATGAAGAACTCAAAAATGACGTGAGTCCTAAAATATACGTAATTTCTCTTCGCGGAACTGTTCATTCATTCATCAATGCCTATTCTGGATAGCAATTTCAATTCATACTTTAAATACAGTTTGACCTGATGCAAACTTGAATATAAATATTTTATTTAAATTCAAATTTCCATAACGAAGCCTTGTTTTTGGACATGTTTCCAGGCATTATAGGTTTTTGCACGTTTATTATAGGTGGTGTGCATGTTTGGACATCATTCCTGCTGATTACATAAATGCAGTAATTTTTGTGAACAAGTTCAACGAAGTATCTTGAGATTCTCAAGCCAAACACATGCTGTTAGCGAGTAAGCTAAAGATCAGCTTTTACATCCAGAAATGTATTCCTTTTATTTAAGTGCTGTGAAGTTGCACTGCCCCTCCCCCCTCTGCTCACATAAACAGTGGTTTGTTGAATTACTCTTTGCCTTAGCAGGAGGCTGCCATTATAAGGCATTTATCTTATCACCTCACAGTGATATGTGAAGCTGTAAATATACAATGCATTACTGGGTTATAATGAAACACTGGCCAATGCAATATGACAGTTTTGTGTACAGAGCTTTGTTTCCCAGTTAAGTATATGACTAGCATTAGCGTTACCTGTTGAGTGCTTTACTGCATGTCTCTATTTTCCCCATACAGATTCACTCCCTGGTAATGCTGGTCAAGTTGCTGTGTACCCCTCCAACCCCAGCGGGTACTCAATGTGCACACATTCAAGCCCTCGGATGTCCACCACCAGAGCTGTTTGAGGCAAGTCACACCTATCCTTGTCAATTCGTACCCAAGCAAGGTCATGACTAATCGCGGTCACAGTTCCTTCTCACTCGTGTAGATTTTGAGTGGAATATGATTTCAGTAGTTTAGAAGATATGTCCAATCTGCCTGTTTACTGTGCCACTTTTCAATTATCCTGGCTGCTGACACTCACATTCCATAATAAATTCTACCTGCAGCTGTTGCACAGTCGGCACCCAATCTCCTGAGTCTGCTTCTATAGTTTTTTCCCCCCATTGGTTGTATGTCATGTCAGTGTTGGCAATCCTCCAGGTGTGCACCCCAATGCCTGTTTGTCTCTTTCTATCTTCCTTTACATTATCTTGCATCACGGTTCTCCAACTATTTTCCAGCAAACCACAATAAATTGGCATGTGCTGGCAGTACATGCGGTGTCATATTAATAAGGTCATGACATCCTAATGTCTACATTTTACCATGAACATGTACCTCCACTCCAGGTTCTTCATCTGTCTCTTATTTATCTTGCTTTTGTTTCCCTATATCTGTATCCCTTTGTCTCGGTGCGCTATATCTCCCGGCAGTCTACTTCAAAAGTTAAACACCCCTCAATTGTGCAATCTCTGCAGTGCCTTTCATTGTATTTTTTTAATGTTCACAAATGTGGTAGGGGTTTATGCAGCTGTTTTGTATGACTCCAGCTTGTCTTCCATGGCTTATCACCGATTTAGTAATGTACTCAATACCGAATTTTGTATACTGCCTGATCTCCGTTAACTCCGCATTATGGAAAAATCGCGTTATAATATATATAATAATTTTGAGTAAAGCACAGCCCATAATAACACGTGAGATGCTTATGCAGGCTGAACAAAGATGGGCGCGTGGGTAGCATCCAGCAGCATCCCGCTTTGTGTGATAGTACGCCGAGGCAATTGTACAACCGCTTATTCCTACTCGGGTGACGTAGGTCTGTTCACTCAATCACGTTATATCCATTTCGCATCCGCGTTATTAAAAACATTTTCCCTAATCTATTCATCGCGTTATATCCAATTCGCGATATGAAAACATGCTTTATAAGAGAACAGACTATTTATGTTCTCCTTATTGTTTTATCATAATTATGTGCAATTGATGCAAGTTTACCGTTTTACACTAAGCATGGTTGCTTCAGTTGTTAAGAAGACCAAGCAGATTTGCTGCAGAATTTTACAAACGTTATCATGCAAAATGGGGAAGTATCCCCAATGCGGTTTGCCCAGAAAATGTATTACTATTTTATTTTGAAAGTCATTGCTGCATTCATGGTTAATCAGCATTTTAGCTCATTAAAGGTATTTTACCAGCGTGAATTGTAATGTACTGTTGTAAGTTTGATCTGCAATGGCAAGGGCAGTTGGTGAGTAAATTGTTCTGATGTTGTTCTCTCCCCTAATACATGGATGCAGATGTCCCATGCTATTGAAGGCCTGAATGAAGGAAATACACACATCCCCTCCATCCCAAATACCTTCTCATCACTGGTAGAAATTTTACCTTTACTTATACAGTTTCAGATTTTACTGCCCAAAAGTACATTTTCCTCCTGAATAGATATTCTGCATTGATATTAATCATGTACATTCGATCCTCATTTGGCAGGCTGGCTGCGTTATCATCGCTACACACGTTATTGTCCAGAACTTCTCCTTGCAACTGTTGAGGCCTGACAACTTTTGGAACCTGTTGCTAGCCTATGGGGTATGTTTTTTCTGAATACTCTTGAGCATATTCATTGAGCCAAAGCACTGATAATGTTTCTTTTGAATAACCACAATCCTATTTTCATCATGCTATTTTGTTGATGTAATTTTGATAAGATGGCCGCAGAATACTATTTGTATCTACAAGTTTATCTAGAAAGATGTGTTTGTGTTGCACACGGAGTAGAATCCTGGGTGACCCAGAATATTGAGGTCGAGCAATTACAGCAAAACATCAGCAGTAGTTTAACATTTCAGAAAACCAATGTTAGCCATTAAAGGCAAGAAATACTTGTGATTATATTAAAAAAATAGCAACTGTATTGATGGTAGAAACATCGGTGGCAATCACTCGTCTCATAACTCGTTTTTTGGAGGGCACTGCCAAATGTTTACAGGGGGTGATGAATACTAACGTTCATTTAATTGCATAATTTACAGATAATTTTTAAGATTTAGACTGCCAGCACACAACGGCCCTACAGTTGCAAACGACCTCGCGGAATCTTTAGTGTCGAGTGTAGAATAGACGGCGCATACTATTGTCATTGTCAATACGCCCACAGTATTGATCAGGGTGGCCTCTGAATTCAGACAGTGATCATCTGCAACAAGTTTCAATTGTGCTACCGCTAGGCCATGTCATTATAATGACATAGTTTGGTGCTTTTGCTCACTTCTATAACATTGACAAGGATGTAAATAAATGAGTATTTTTTTTATTTTCAATTTAACCATTATGGTAATTGATCTTATCGTTATACCAAGCCTTTGTAGACTGAAAAATCATTAAACCTAAGTAGAAATTGACGTAGTTATCCAAGTGCTCACAAACCAAAGCCTTGGATAATAAGCAAGATATATTCTTGGAATTGCATTGAGATAAACACACGGAGTAGAGAACATGTACTGTTCAATAACATCTAACGGTTAAAAAAAGGTAGGCCTGGGCAGCACACGTCACTAGAAAGATTGATCGATCAAGAATAATAATGGAGCGGCAGCAAAGGAATTCAACTTGTCTGAGAGCACATCTATCGAGGAGATGTCACTTTAAAATCACCTTATGTGCAGGTGGTGGGTGGACTATTACATTGCAGGATAGTTATAGATGATGGCGGCTTGGGTACACCTTAATCCATGAAGCAGTGGATTGACCATGGATGATGAAAATGATGGTGAAAAATGTTAACTTAGATGGGATTTCTAATAGCTTTCCTGGGAACATAAGCTACTTCGTTACATGACCTAGAACTGGCATGCAGAATACCTATCAACTAAGAATTGTGTCTTTGGGATATAACGTAGAAAACCTGAGCTGGTTCTGAAATTGCAGTGTTGTGACTTGTAATAAGTAGAAAGAATAATGAAGAAACTTGTTATATTTCCACAGCCAAACATGTGGGCAGTGGAGTTTCTGCTTTCCTCCATCCGACATTGCCTCAAGTGGACCTTTGTTGATGATATGAAAAACTTCGCCTACCGTGAGGGGATAGTCGAGAGGTGATGCTCATTCCATTGCACATTGGGCTGACTTTGTGCTGTTGTGGTGCTTTATGGATTAAAGCGTATATATATGCAGAGTGCTTATGTAAATATTGTCTTCACATGTAAATATAAACTATGATCGTTCTCCACAACAATGTAAATTACTTCGCATACAATATAGATTTTTTTAAGTGACCATGGCTCCATTATTTATATGGAGTGCTTTTGACAAAGCAGGTATCCGCCACTATAACTTTACACATTGTTGTTTTCCGCATGTATGTTGCTGATGAATCAGGGAACATTTGTTTATAAGTTTAATGTTACGCATGTGCCTTTCTTGAAAAAAAATGACAAACATTTTTCATGCAATCTAGATTTTAAGCTTTCGGGACTGCAGGTTCTTTCGGTAAAGTCACGTAGGTAGGAAATTAAAATAAATTGCGACGTTTCGATTGCAACACAAGCAATCATCATCAGGTGGGAAAAAACAGCAAGAACATTTTTTTGCTGTGATTTATTTTATACCTACGTGACTTTACCGAAAGAACCAAAGAGTTTTTTTCGTGCAATTTTAAACTCGGAATCCACGCGGTGGAAAGGTATTATTTTGTGATGTAATACTGTATTGTTCACGCGTAGCATTTCCCAGGAACGCATTTGTGCATCCATAATATATAGTGCGGGATTCCTGTAATATCCGTTTTACAACTTTGACTGACGATGAGACTGAGAAAGTCAAAACAAGTCCATAGTGCTGCTAGATTATTTTTGCCTGGAAAGCCAATAGGCCGTGTGACTAAAACATGTCTTGACATTGCTTGAACTTGCTAATGTGCTTTTCTAACGTGTGCTCTGTTCTGTTTACCTGCAACCATTCTGGACCATGCTGGTTAAAGTCATAATTTGCCACATACAGTCCTGTAAATCATGCAAATTAAGCTACGCAGAAATATATATTTTTTCACGTAAAATGTTATCGTCATTTTGTGTTTGTAAATGTGTCCAGCAACTATAATTGTCAACCGAAAACTATTCAAAAATACAATTATATTAATCTTCTTGGTTCTTTCGGTAAAGTCACGTAGAAGGGAAGTAATATAATATTAAAAATAAAACATAATAAAATAATTCTCACGACGTTTCGGCCACAATGTAAGCAGCCGTCCTCAGGTGAAGAACAGGTCTGTCGGAAAGACAGCGTCTGAATGAACACCACTACGCTTGGCAACGTATATTTTAAGCTGGGTTGGAGGGGGAAGAGCGCCTTGACAAATTAATTTACATATCAAGAGGAATTTACCATATTTATGGGAAATGCAGATATGGGATTAGTCACTACTTTTGGAATGCGTAGGAGGTGGGCGGGGGGTTTCAAAGTCAAATTATGCCCGTGCATTATGCAGTATGCAGGATTAGCAGCAACAAAGGGAGGGAGTAGGGTTAGCTTAATAAAGGGAAGGAATGTTAATAGTATGGAGCTGCAGCAGCTAAACCACTACGTAAAAAACTAAAATATAAACTACATCTGTGTTATAAATATACTAAATATACTCTCCAATAAGCTGAGCTACTAACAGTACGTGACTTTACCGAAAGAACCAAGAAGATGAATCCCTGCAGTCATGAAAGCTTTAAATCGAAAAATACAATTATATTGTATATCTATCCACATAATGATCCTGAAAGTGAATTATTTTGGACCAGTTTCTAAAAAGAAAAAAAGATTGGCTACATTTCTTCTGCTAAATAATTAATCTTTGGGGAAAAAGTCCAATGTTTCGTACCTGAACTCTGCTTCATCTGCTGGATTGCTGACAGGTTGGCTGTGCAGCACCGTCAACAAATATGTGCTCTGACTGACTTGTTCAGGAAGGTCGACCATGCAGAGTTCAACCACCTTGGCATTTACTTTTCAAGCCTACTCTTCTTCTTCATAATGACGTAAGTGGTACTGAAGCAGTTTTTAGCACAAAAACCGGTGGTGAGAAAGACAATGTTTTACTTGTACCATTGTCTTTCATGCCATCTTGTATACGCTTATGAAAGAGCCTCTGCATGACGTCATATGTCGCCATCATGCGATGCATAAATTGCATTAACTCCTGTTTATCAGTTGATTTTATTACACTGTCTCTGGTAGATACCTACTCAGGCGTGTTCCCTCTTCTAACTGCCACTCTTATGAGTCTTGACTTGTGGCCATCCATTCTAGGGATGTGTCCTACTCAAGCCCACTTAACTGTTCTCAAGTCAATGTGTTTTCTTTTAAACCATGTGATCTCAAGTGTAATTCCAAGCATGCACTTCTCCACAATTGGGAAGTGTTCCTGATCCGTATGTCATAGCAGTGCACCAACTAAAAACATTCTACTGTAGGCATATAGGTATATGTTGTTTTTAAACACTTTATAACTGAGGTTGAATTGTTACATTTGTCTACTCTTTCTCAAGATGATCTGGTAAAGTTGATTTAATATGAATTGCATTTTATTTTTAAGTTTGCCCTCCTGTTAGAAATCCTCCTTTTAGATAACCAGGGTTGTGGTACTGCAGTCAGAGTGAACCTTATGGTGTGACCCTGGGGTCCCGAATAAACGGAAGTAAAACATTTAATATATTTATTTTTGGCGACTCCGTCCCACCGCGCACATAAACGCCGCGACCCACCGGGCGCGGATCATTCTGTTGTCATGTCATCCAAGCGCAGCGAGGACAAATGCGCAGAAGAAACAAAACTTTGATTAGTGTATCGTGTAGAGCTCGTCGAGAGGAATAGATTGCCGTATCGTTAGCCTTCAACAGACATGAAATTACGTCGTGATGCAGTTTTTGCGAGAGCCAGGGGCTTATGGGACCCGCCATAAGGTTAAAATGCTCGGTTAATCAAATCGTTATCAGAGGTTGACTCCACCAAATGTTCCATCCATGGTTCATGATTTTACATTGTAAACATTTATGCAAAGTGACAAATCCTATGGAGGTGTACTCCCCAGCAAGCAGATTTTCCACTACTGGTTCAGGACCTCCCATGGAGACGAGCACCCCACTGCACACTCATTTCAGTAGGAGGATATTGGCTCTTTGAGTTTCACAGTAAATAACTGGTGGCCAAACCTCAACTCACAACCTGCACGGGCTGCCGAGCATTTCAAGTTCAGCTCGATGGAGATGCAGCATTTGTTTTTACTTTTCAATACAACCTAATTAGAAACGGGAAGAATCTACATAAAGGGAGCGGCAACCTGAAGACTTGCCCCCGGCAGTGAAGGCAAACATGAGATCTCCCATGGTACTGCCACATTTCTAAATTCAAAAACTACAAAGCCAGCTTAGCCCCCAGTGAATTAGCCGTGTGGTCACCGTTTGGCTCTTGTAGCTCTCGGCTGTATGAAGATTTGGTTTGCGATTCACAGTGTCAGAAAGTGTGGCCACCCGTTATAAGATTAAAAATATTTAAATTGGACAATTGTAAAAAAAATCAAAAGACATCACAAATTAAAATTCTCAAATGCAACTACAATACTTAAGCGTGTTTTTATATTAAACTAGAAGGCAGTCCTCAAAATTATGGATTTTACAAAGCACATGATAGATTTAAGGTCCAGGTGTTGAATTTCACAATGCAAACAAGTACAGTTGTGAGATTTTTTTTAAATATTTGCAGATAAATATCTCTCATTCAGCCCTCATTCAATCATTTTTACATGTAATTGATTCTCATTATTACCTTAATCACTTATACTTATCAATCTTAATATACTCAAACCTCTCATTCACTCCTCATTCATGCATTCATTTATTCTCATTCAATAATTCACATCTCATTCATTCTCATTCCTACCTCAATCACTCATTCCTCGCATTAATTCTTACCTCATTCAGGCACTCATTCCTATATTACCTTGTACAGTGTTTCTCATTCTTACCTTATTCAATCAATAATTTTTATCCAGTACCACCCACCAGGATTACTGAGGCTCTCCCATGACTTCCTGGCCCAGCTGTTGCTATGAACACCATTGCTAGGCACACCGTTGCTTGGGAAACGGTTGTTAGGGACGTTTGTCACGAGGCTGACGGTTGGTCCTCGCAGCCAGGACAGACATTTGCTTTCATAATACACAAGCTCGTTAGCATAGCGGGGTTTTCTGTTTTGTAGTCCACTTTGTGCTTTTGTTTTTGGTTCATTATTCGGCACGCGCAACCAACGGGTTTTAGAACGATACCAAAGTTGGGGCCCGTAGCAGCTAAGAAAAAAAAGTGGATTTGTATCAAGTTTTAAAAGTTCGTACAAACAAACAAGGGGTGAGATTTCATTCACATAGAAGATAGTTACTCAGAATATATGCCTCGTATATAAATTGTTCCCCGTTATATCATAAGTTTCCATCACTTGTGTCCATTATCCACGTATCCATAACCCTTGTGCTCTCTATTACCTTATTCGCGCATTTTTTTAATTCATTTTGGATATCATGTTTTCTTATCTTTTATAAAAAACATTTTTCACGTCAATTTAACGCATCTTATCTGGATTTTGCCCATTAAGTGTCATCTATTTTTAATAGTCTGTGATTAAATGTTTATAATTGTTATAAATGTAAAGTTGCACATGTTAAATATGAAATATAATCATAATACAGTTAAAATGTTTTTTTATAACCCATCCATAAAATGTGTATGACGTCTTGGTGTTTATATTATTTGGGTCTTTCCGTAAAGCCACGTAGATAGAATAAATATATAAAAATAATAACAATATCACGCACGACGTTTCGATCGCATCACAAGCAATCGTCATCAGGTGAAAAAATATAGCAGGAGAGCTGCTGGGGCAGGATGTTATAAAGGGTTGATGGGTGTAGCCCAAGGGTAAGTGGGCGGAGCTAGAGATGAAATTTGCATATAAATGTAAGATCTGAGAGCTGAGCCATACCCACGACGACGAACCTGTGTGGGTGGCCATTGTATTGTGAGAGATTAGAATGTCAATGTAAGAAATTTGCATGTAAGTGTAAAATCGGAGAGCTCGCCCAAGAGCCAGTCTTGGTGTTACATTGCATTTCTGTTCCTGAATGTTTGGGGGCTTTCTAAAATGTTTTCTCTTTTAAAAGGAACGCTTCCACTGAACCAGAAAAGGAAAATGTCAAAAAATGGATGGTGTCCACGGTAATATGCAAAAAAAAAACACTGTTTTGCCTATTATATTTAAGAAAAATAAAGGAAATAAATCGGGGTTTTTTTGACAGTTAACAGAGAAGGGAAGGTTGTAAAATGCTTTAATTCCAATTACAAATGTACAGCATTGTCCATTTTAATTGTTAGGACTACATGTAATTCTGTTGATGATTTTGTTATTAGGAGCTCAATTCTTGCTACTTTGTACTTAACACATTTCAGGCCAGTAAATTCTGAGTGATGCATCTTTCACTTGTATGTGCCCTGTTACAATATAACAGAGTTTTAAACCAGTGCAGTACTTCCAACTCTCACTGCTGGCAGTGGGCGTCAAATATGATTTACAAATAGCCCTGGCTTGCCACATGAACACACCTTGTCACTGAAATAAAAGTCGGTTACAGAGAGATGTGGTTGCATTTAGTTAGATGCTTTATATAACCAACTTGTATTTGTATTAATTTTGTTTTGAGTCACGGCATAATCGTATAATATAACTCAATGGCCACAGTTGGAAGGTTGTCACAGTTCATATGGTTCAAGTGGCAATCCTTTCAGTGCTATTGAAATTGGAATATTTATTTCTGAAGCCAATTTCAGAGATGTCAAGCTTGGGTGGGGTCATGGGTAATTTTAGGCAAAATTTTGCTTGGTCCATTTTGAGAATGGTACCGTATCTTATGATCCACACATAAACATCATTTATCTGACATGAGCAACATTCTACATAGTTTCTAAGTACATATTTATCACTCAAAGGCATGTAATGATTCAACCCTCTTCAAATGAGTTCTTACAATTCAGGATTGCCATTCATCCTAATAATCCATTGCTTTTAGTCTTGTATTATCTTTCTTATGTTATACCTTGTTTTGTACGTGGTCTAAGATGCAATTCACATATAATTTGAATTAAAAGTACAGTAAATAGTCTCGTGCAGCAATCCCTCGCCAACCGCGGAAGTAGGTTTCCTGGAAAAGGTCACGGTAGGCATATCCTTGGTTGGTAAAGTATAATAAAATATAAACATTAAATAAACTTTCTATTCTTTAATATTGGGGGTAGAAGTTAATGATTATGACAATGCGATGATGGGGGAAGGGTGGTTAGAAGGAGGTGCTCAGTCCACAACAAATAGAAGCAAAATATGTGGTTACGATAATTACAACAAATCGGACGGCTGATAAGCTACCACACAGCGTCACGGATTGTCCGGTGGCTCAGGGGAGAACCGCGGCCCCGCAAAATTTGTAGATGTGTAATGCGAGCAAGGAAAGAGGGGGCGGAGTCTGGGTCACGTGAGGAGGAGGAGGAGTCAGGGTCACGTGAGAGAGAGGATTTAGGGGGAGAACCGGAAGCGATCTAGGAGTTGAGAAGGAGTGGAAACAGGGGGAGGCCCCGCTGGGCAGTGGCGAGAGGGTGGCGCCATTTGCCACGTGGTGGAAGGCCACGGCACTGTCGGCCAGCGGTGTACGTGGGGCACAGCAGAACTAGTGGGCTAGAGTTAGTGGAGTAGAGCTAGCGGAGGAGAGCTAGTGGAGTGTGGGAAGCTAGCCGGGTGTGAAGAGCTAGCAGAGTGTGCGGGGCACACAGAGCAGCAGTGTGGCTGTGGAGCGGAGCAGCGGTGTGGCTGCAGGGTGCACGGTGGAGGAGGTGCGGGTCTGAGCGAGGACGCCGCAGGGGCGAGAGAGACAAGAACCCGAATAAAGGACAACGGAGACCTACACTGTCTGAAGAGTCCTTTATTACAGATGCATGTTGTGGATATTCAAAATTGCCAGGCCGCGTTTGGCGAGGGATTGCTGTACAGATAATGCACCGTGTGTACATGAATTCCGCAGTTGGCAAGTCCACAGTTGCCGAGGGATTGCTGTACACGCCATTCTATGAAAGTATCATGAGCATACGAATCTATTTAAATAAAATTGTTATATACCTAATGCATTAGATTCTGCAGTGTAAAGGCAAAATGTGTATTCAAATACAAAAAAGACAGGAAGATTTTTTTTTATCCTGTGGGTAATTAATCGATAAGTAAGAGATGTGACTTGCCTTCCCTGCCGTTGAAATAATGGACTGTTTTGTGTCCCTGTGTGTCTGCATCTAGGTGATTCCAACGCTGGTTCGTTTAAATACGCAAGAGAGCATTGAGCTGCAAAAAGCAGTTTGGCATTTTTTAAACCAACCCAGCTAATGAACGAATAATGAATGCTGCGCCAATCATCGCACTTCCAAACCATGTGAACATTTTGGTGTTTTGTTAGATTTTTGTATTGCAACAAATGGTTTGGTAAACAAACGTGGTATAGTTCCACCCAATGACTTGTTTGGTTGTAGTTTGCAGCACGTGATTTATTTTTATACTGTTGACTTTCACATGTTTGCCATAATCGTTACGTAACTTTCACAGTGTTTCTGTGGTTTACATGTTTCCCAGATGTTATGATTTTTTTTCCCGAAAATTCTTAATTGTGACCACAATATTGTCAAGTTATTGGACTTCTGCTTTTCTTATTTGCTTTGGAGTGTATGCATTGCTTAGAATTAAGGTAAATGTGACATAACCAGCCACCCTCTCAACCATATTCTGTGCTAACTGTGGTGGCTTATCTTGCCGAGGACGTGGCAAATAAAATAAATATTGAAGCTTCTGTTGAAGCGAAGCAACAATTCTTGATTTTAAAAAGGATATATAATAAAGAGCGAAAAAATAATTAAATAACCCTGTTTTCACTTTTCTATTGCCATTTATTCTCCCGTTCATAACATGACAGGTTCAAGTTCATGGGTGTTTGTCATCGTGTTGCCATATCACGAAATAACCTTTCTAGAATTATGTACAGTGCTTATTAACAGAATGGCAAGTGTTATTTAAGGTTGCAATGATTATGTATGTTGAACGTTTGCACTACGTAGCCAACCGTGCTAATCGGAGGTTCGATTAGTGGACACCAGAAACGTTTTACACATGGCACACCACGGGAATGGGAGTACAGACAAGGAAAAATATATAAAAATGTCATGCTCGTGTTCAATGGACTGCATTTGAATAACTTAAGTAATCATCCATATTGCAAATACTGAAGCATAAAAAATAACATTGCAAATTAGAAATATTTAGAAAAAATTTCGGAAACATTGCAATCATTGTTCAATTTATAACAATTTTATCGTGACAATTGCGTGGGAACCCGTCATGGATACTTGCCTACGATTTGGGCATACATAATACGACCGACAAGGTGCCAAGACTGAATGTAGTGTACAGTGTGGGACCACAGCACAGGCACCTTCCCGTCTTGGTGCTGAGTGTTTATTACACCATTGGTGGTGGGTGGGATCAGCGTGTTCAGGATTTGAGAGGCCTCCCTGACCTCACTGCAGAGTTCTTAAATTCCACTCGGAGTAAATGTCAACCGCAGCAGCGTCGTGTCACCATCGTGTACACTGGGCAAGTCTGTGTTGCTGCATGTGGGAGCCCCTCACCATTGCTTCCCATGTTCCACGAATAGGTACTACCTTGCAAGCTCCCGTGAGCTTGCTATTGTGCATTTTTACTATACGCACTGCCCTAGCTTGTAAAATTGCCATTAATCGTGGCTCCGAAGCGTTCAATGAGAGAGGGGAGTACGTCTGCACTTTCCTTATTGAATCTCCCGAGGAGTCAACCTGAATTCCTCACCATTACCACCACCTCCATTGTCAAATCATCAAAGTTTATGGAAAAAAAGGTATTTATTAGTCATTGTTATTAAACATTTATCATTCCCCCCCCCCATGTTTGTGGGGCTGACGTCCACCCCCACTTTCGTCGCGAGGCAGGTGGGGCACGACATTCGCCCCTTTCACTCCCTCCACCGCATCAGTCGGCCACAGCTCACGCGGCGCACAGTGGTATGCCCACGCCCGACATCTGCGAGCGATTACCTGCCCGCTTGCCCGTGCCTCGGCTCCGCGTCCACTCTCGCAGCGTGTTTTTCCCACGCAATCGCTCTACACACAAATCAGACACCACACCGATGCTCTGTGCTAACTTTTATTGGCGGTGCAAATACACACTACCTCGGGGAATATTTTGCGAGAAGATCCTAGCCTCCTGCTACCTAAGTGCCCAGTCACTTAAACACCCTACCACGTACCTCGAGGCTGTACTCACGGCATCGCACGGACGCAGTGAGAGTCGGAGGGAGAAAGACGAGACAACTTTTTACCTATCACTGCCTCGTAGCAGCACTCGCTGGCATCACATGGATGCTGCAAGCAACTCGAGGAGGCAGGATGGCAGGGAGCGAGTCTTGGTGGCCCAGAGGTTGAAGACAAGAGCAAGAGTCGTCCCGGGCTCACCTTTTTATGCCCCTAACTTCAAAGGCCTGGGGTGACGTCGTTCCGCGCGGCCAGTCGGGCACCTACTACCTGTGATTATCGTCCCCTACTATTTTCTCTTACATGGAGTGCCACAAGCCAATCGTGCGCCTACCTCTGATTACCGCTCACTTGGACCTCGTGCCACGGGGAGTGCTGCTGCTCCACCCACCCATTGTTCTCCCGTGCTCATTAATTTTGACCTTGTCTGCCCTTCTTGCCTAATATTCCACCCTCAGCATCTTCCAATGTCGTGAATGACTCATTGCGGCTGGCCCAGTGAACCTTTTTGCACCCATACAATTTTAAGCCAACTCAGTGGCACCGCAATGTGATCTGTCTTGCGAAGGTCGGCCAATCTCCTGGCACCGGGAAACCGTGGGACTTTCCTCCTGGATGCCCTTCGGATTAAAACCCGTCATGCCAGGCAATCCCCCACCAAGACACTGCGCTGCGGGTGTGTGCTCAGCGTGGGGGCTGGGGGGGGGGGAGTCACAGCGCTGCCGAGTTTCTTCGTGGCCGTGGCACCACATGTTCACCCGTACCAGGAACAGAACCACACTTTTTCTCTGTGGAACAAGGATTCTGCATTTGCGAATCTTGCATTCCCAAACATTTTCAAGAACGTAACCCTGGCAAATAGAGGTTACTGTTTTGTTAATTTTGCACCATGAACCCTGCCACCTGAGTTTGATTTCTCAGCCACGGTTAACATCAGTGGCAAGTGCTGTAATATAAAATCTGTTCTCATCCATTTGTGGTGGTGGGGGGGTTAAGGAGAATGTGCTAGAGTGTACTTGTTGCAATAATTCAGAACAGGTGGCCGAAAGGTACTGTTATAGTTTAAGACACGTGCCGTAAGGGTGTGCAGGGCACCGTCCGATCAGCGAGGGGACCGAGTGGGTATATTAGGGGAGTGAGGCCTGCGATCTGGGTGCTTGACTGGGGACCCCAATGACCAAATAAGGTGGACGACATTGGGGCTGACCGATCGTGTAGTAACAAGGTGGAAACCATCAGGGCTGACTGATAGCGGAGTAATTACTGGCAAAGTTGTAATTACGTTCGAAGTTGACACCGTACGTTATCTTTAGAAATAAACTTTACCTTTTTCGAAAATGGACGTCTCCAAGGAGCTTCTTTATACATTGATGTATTGAAAATGTCTGATATTTGTTTTCATTTTAATAAAATAAAGTTACTTGTGGTTTCACTTGCTTGGTATATGAATGTGTTTTTAGGGGTTAAACCACAATCGTGTGCTTATCAGTGCCCAACATGTAAGACGTTTCCTTTCTGGATTTCCAACCACATTAAGGGGTCTTGATAGACTATACGTGCTTAACTGCTGCACTCGTCAATGCTAAATGGTAGTTCACCATCGTTTAACCTTTCTGCAGTGCATTCCGTGGCGAATACATTTTATAATAGGTCTCGTGGATCTGAATGATTGGCACGCCTTGGAGAGGCCTTCAACTCGCAGTGGATTGACACGGTTATAAAGTACTACGTTAATTTGTGAATGGTGGATCATGGCATTTGTACTTTATTTGCAGTCTCTGCAACAGAACATAGAGGTTTATGAATTTTACTGCCAAATAGGAAGCCCTGCAATACACCCAGTCAGGCCATTTTACATCTGGTTTAGATTTTATTTTAGACTAGTGGGAAGTACTCGGCATTGCCCGGGTCTTAACAAAATGTCAAAACTACTCTTAAAAATCTAACAGCAGTGCGTACTAACTGGTGGTACCTGCTATGATTACAGCAGTGCATAATGTGGTGGTACCTGCTTTCACTGCAGCAGTGCATACTTTGGTGGTATCTGCTAGGATGACAGCGGTGCATACTGTCTATGGTGGTACTTTCTATGATTACAGCAGTGCATACTGACTGGTGGTACCTATTACAGCAGTGCATACCGACTGTGATGGTACCTGCTATCACTACAGTAGTACATGCTGACTCTAGCAGTATTTATCGACTATAGCATAAAGTACTCACCTGACAGTGGCGTGGTGAAGCCTAGTCCCGTGCAGAGCCTCCGGCCTCGCCTAGATTGTCCAGCCGGCCGAGGTGGCACCTTGGCAGGCGGGTTGGGCTGCTACCCCTGACACCCCCTCCCCCCATCCACGATCTCCCCGGCCGCTCTGCAGTAATATCTACGGCCTATAGTGGTAGCATCTAGCGACTATATAGTAGTAACTGCACGCATCGGGGTGGGGGGGACATCACAGTGAAGACTTAAGCTCAGCGTTGTGTATTTTATAACATTTTTTACGCGAAAGAAAATGTCCCCCTCACTCCCACCGAAGGCGTGGAACTTGGCATGGGCCGTTTTTCCCACAAAAAGCGTGTGAGTTGGTATGGTCGTGCACGTGTCATAAATAAATAGATAGCACGCAAAAATCTCACTAAATCGCTCATGAAACTAATTTAAAGTTGACGGATGTGAAAACGGAATAGCGCTTGCCCACGGCGGGGCTTACGGTGTGGTACCCGGCAATTTTTATTTAGCGTCAACCCCACCATTGGAGAGCCAAATCCTTCGCAAGTGCGCGAACACACACAAAGCCACACACACACCCACAAACAGACAATTTTTGGCTTTTATATACTGTGTATAGATTACAGTACACCGTTTGCATCGATATTTCAGCCAAAGTATCAGACATTAAAAAAGCACGTTTGAATCATAAAAACAACCACATTCACAAAGCAGAATGGTGATTTGACCAGTTTTATGCAACAAAAATGTGGTTAAAATTGCCTTTCCGCGAACACATTAAGCTCCATGCATTTTATCACATTCCAAAGCACAATTCAGAGACTCATGGGTTTATGTATATCTTCTCATATATGGCTTGAGTAACATACCTCTATGCCATTTGGAAAAAAAACATGAATACAGTATGTACAACCGTAACCGTTACCTTTAAAAAATGCATTCACATTACAAAGAAAATACATTCAAAGAACAATATAGGATGGTAAAGGAATTCTCATTACGACAAAACATTGTACCGTTTACCTCCTTTGCCAGTACCAAAATATAATAATAGGGGTTTTCCCCTTTTTTCTGGCAACAAAACTGAAACCTTTTTACAAGGATTCATGGCTGCATTAACCACAATACTTGCAGTTCAAAATGCAAACAAAAAACATACTATGATAATATATGCATTGTCCTTGAAACTGATTGGTCCACACGAAGAGACGTCTTTCTTTTGAGCCTCGATCCAATTGGTGCACGACCAGAGGACGCCAAAAGGCGTACAGCTCAAAGACAATGCACCATCAAAGTAATGAGGGCTCGGGGTGAGCATCTCGATCATTAGACCTCCTTTGCCAGTACCAAAATATAATAATAGGGTTTTTTCCGCTTTTTTCTGGCAACAAGGATTCATATCTGCATTAACCACAATACTTGCCGTTTCAAGGACAATGCATATATTATAGTATGTTTTTTGTTTGCATTTTGACTGCAAGTATTATGGTTAATGCAGACATGAATCATTGTAAAAAGGTTTCAGTTTTGTTGCCAGAAAAAATGGGAAAACCCCTATTATTGTACCGTTTGTAAATGATGATTACTTATTGTAAATAATGATCATTATTGATTGTAAATGATTGCTAATTTTAAATAATCACTGATAGATGATTACTGATAATATATTATGATTCACGATTGCAAATGATTATTAGTGATTGTAAATGACAATGATTAATGATTGTAAATATCAGCAATGGCTGCAAGTGCTTGTTACATATAATGACAAAGATTTTGGAATTATTTGCACTCTAAACTCATTTCACTCTTGGTGAGTTCAGAGAACATGGTGTAATTTCTGACAATGATGAAGCTCAACAAACAGGATAAAAAATATTCAAGTATACATTTTAATAAATACACGGTGCTTAAAAAAATGTCAACACTTATGAGAATTTGCAACAATACCACAAATAAATGCGCCTCCAGGCTTTGGAGACCACCTGGAGAAGATTCCAGACGTGTTGACAACGATGGCGAACAAATGGAGACTGACTTTTTGAAGCTATTAACATACATTTGTTATTATGTTACAGAGTACTATCTGTTCTTTTTCCATCAAAAACGATAGTTCCATCTAAGTGTTAACATTTTTTGAAGCACCCTGTTTATCACTGGCACATTACAGGGGAAATGCTTAACTTTCATTATATTCACTTTTGTGATTGTATACGTTCAACGTCCCCCCCCCCCCCCCCAGTTTTATCCCAAGTATGCTTTTGGAATTATGTCACGAAAGATAAAGTATTGTGTCCATTTTAATTACCAACAGTGCAACATTCACCCTGCCGTGTTGGAGAAGTCCGAGAAAAGAGATCACAGAACTGCTTCTTAAATCTATTTAAACTCGCCTTTTGCCTGTCCAAGGCAGTAAATCTGAAACTTGCAAGCGAAAAGCAGACCGCGACGTGATATGAATTGCATCAATGCGCGTGCAATTTGTAAGGGCGCGGGGACACGGACCTATTTCATTTTAAGGTTATAATCCCTTGTTCATCATGATGTCCTTTTTACTTTGATGTCTCAACAGCGCTACAGCGTTACGGAGATCACGTGACGTGTCTTTAGGGTTGTGAGTTGACGCCGAGGAGGGGGGAGGAGGCGCCTCGGCCCCCATGTGGAGTGACGTCATCGGCTAATTATTATGAATGGGGAGGGGGTCCATTTGGAGGACGTCACCTTATGATTATTAATGAGGGGGTCCATTCGATGTGGAGTGACGTCACCTGCTCATGATTATTAATGACGGGGGAGGGTGCTCCATGTAGAGTGATGTCACTTGCTCATGATAATTAATGAGGGGGGGGGGGGTGTCCATATGGCGGACGTAACCTGTTCATGATTCTAGATTTGAAGCTTTCGTGACTGCAATGATTCATACTCTTGGGTTTTTTCGGTAAAGTCACGTAGGTAAAAATACAGCAATCGTGCTGTGACGGTTCCACCTGAAGACGGAAGCCTGTGTTGCCTCCGAAACGTCGTGATTTTTTATTTTACTTTTATTAATTTTATTTTTTACCTACGTGACTGTTCATGATTATTAATGAGGGGGGGCTGGTCGACGTGGAGTGACGTCCCGAGTGTTAAGGACAGACATTCCTGGGTGCTTCTAGTAGGTATGGCTGCTTATGAGGGGGCAGCACTTTCCCATCCACCTTGCGAGAGAGAAATGCATCACAGTCAACCAGAATTTTAAATGCTCACAGCTGGAATTATTTTTTTTTTGCCAAATTAGGTGCCGAACAACATCTGAAATGGGGTCGGTGTTATTGCTCAGTAACTGGTGACCAGGCTGAGAACATCAACTCAACACGTTATAGAACTCGAGATCATCATGGGCGGCTGCCCGGATTTGAACTCGGGAACTCAACAATGCCACTTCAACATTTACCTCCTGAGCCACCCGGGTGACCTCGCTGAAGACATGCATCATACACTCACTCTCAAACAATGCTTGAGAATGATTTTTGAATATAACACGAAGCTATGATATCCAAGTGTTGTAATACATTCTACGGTGAGCATATACGGTATATGGCCAGTTGTCCACTTAAAGTAAAATGTAATTTACAGTTTACATTTTTCACAAACTGTCCTGCCCTTCGGCAAGCCGCTGCTGGATGACATCTTCCATTATTGATCGTGGAGGATGTTTGACGGCACACTGTTCGGTGCAGACCAGTTCAGATATATCACTCGTCACTGCTGATAGCTATGGCTGGGAATTTAACTCTGATCACCCGATTCATAGTACAGCATGCTAAACACTGCACTATCACTCCACCCCTTAAACTTATGGAACAAAGTGTCTTAATTTCAACTCTAAACTTAAGATGTGTCATTGCTCGCTAAATATTATTCTTATGGCATTGAATAGAGAATACAAGCTGTTCAGGTTATTACTTAGCAGAATGGCTGAGAAAATAATTTATAACTGCAATGTTTAAAAGACAGACTTAATGACTGGACACTTAAAATTGGCTGTGTAAAAAAATGATAAATAAAATATCTATTTCATGGATTTTTGGTAGTTTCCACGGAACAAGATATGTTACCTTAAGCTGAACTAAACAGTAGTATTATCATCTGTGGGACCCTTTGATAGTATCAAAACGATGAAAAAAGAACAGTTACCCGTGCCCGAAATAATGCATGTGTTAAGATGTTAAACACCAAATAGACACTTATGACAAGGCATCAAGACCGCATTAATCACACGTTATATAACTGCTCAATCCGAGCCATCAATGCTTTGAAATTTTCATTGCCTTTGTGCTGTTCGCCCTTTGGCCGGCCAATCTCTAGTCTAACACCGATGAGACAAGGCCACAAATGAGGCTCTCTCTGGTGTAGGCCAATCAGTTTCAAAGACAATGATTAAATTTTATATCAAAGCATGTTTTTACAAGTATGTATGCCTTGCACAGGGTGTATATTTGGTATTTTAACATCTTAACACATGTATTCATGCCAGAAAAGGGTAAAGGCTTTTTTTTCATCAGTAATATCACAATGCAACTTCACATATATTTCGATAAATGTACAATATAAAATATTAAAACGTATTAAACAAACGACATTCGATTCTTGAATTTTTAAAAAATGTTGTAACTCCTAGTACATTCTGCAAACACCCTATATAAATCCCCATTATCAAAAATAAGACCGTGTCTGTGTGAACAGTGCGATTCGCTGCAGAGGTGGAACACTGATGACGCTGATCTGCTGGCTTAAGAGGATCGATCAGTGGTCCTTCTGCAATGGAAAAATATGCACGTTTATTTACCCCTTTGTCCACTTCATCTCAATCAGTGTTGAACAATTTAGCCTGAAGGCGTATGTTTGCCACGATGCCTGTTTGCTTCCGTACCATTGTGGCGCTTTGCTGGACGACGATAATTCTCGGAACTTGTGGGTAGCTCGCGACCAATTGCCAAGGTGGGGACAGCATCTGATCGCTTGGCTTGGTGGTCTGTGGTCGTACCTCTGCTCGTTTGGCTCGTGCTTTCGGTGGAATGCGACGAAATGTTTTTTGACGGCCTGGTGTTCGACTCTATTTGTTGGCTCTTCGTGCTCGACGAGAATCTGGGTTCACTCGGACTTGCAGCCGAAAAGTTTCCAATAAAGTGTGGCGTGCCGGTGGCATTTACTTGCTTGTCGGGAGATGTGTTGAGATTGAGATCGCTGTCTGAAGTAACTTTCGACGGTGCAACAGTTGCACCGCCTGTACCAGTCTGGGTAGAATCTACGGACCCGCTCACTGTCGTGCTGTCGAGGTGAATGCGTTCATTGTTTGTCGATGAAGTAACGTGAGTGACGAATGAGGTCAAGAGAGTCGAGTCAGAGGCATAGGAATCCGTGGAGTTTGTCTCCATGGGTGGGATGGCCATCTCCCTGTGAGACACTGCGCTGGAGCTGATGATGGGTATGGGCTGGGCTGTCGCATTGGATGCTGCGGTCGAATTTAAGATGGACACAGTTGTCGCGTTCACTTCGTCTAAGGCAATGGAAATGGTGGACATGTTGTGGACACGATTGAAAGTGCCAATAGTCACGCTCTGGTCTAAACCACGAGCAGCTGTGGTTTCGTGTTGATTGTCTAAATACATGGAGGTGTCGGTGGTCAAAGTCTCGTCTGAATACGTGGCAGTGGATAATGAAATATGTGTGTCACCTGTCACTGTCGGTTTTTCAGTATGATGTAGGAATATGCAGGACTCTAACTTATTTTGAAATATTTTAAAATCGGCTATATATTTCTCCAAATAGCCTAAATCCGATTGTAATTTGTCAATAAGTTCTGAAGGAGATATATTTGTCTTGCTGTAACTCTTGGTGATTTTCTGAGGAACAAAAACATTGTTTAACCAAATATTCGCTCATAGTGTAATTGCAATATTTATTCTTTTCAACTCTATGACTGTCCGTTAAAAAAAACGAATTCACGTTTTTTGGCTGGGATTATTACAGCTCTTATGCATGCATGCGTGTTGAACTTTTTTTTCGCACTGTATGTAGCCAACCATGCTAATCGGTTAGCTCATTAATCATAGCATGTTGATATAGTTTGTTGTCCACCCCCGCACCTCTTATGAGCAACATACAGTAGTAACAAGTAGCACACCTGTCCTTCGGACATGACTGTCAGCCCTACCCTGAAAAATATCCCAAGCACATGGAGTGATACGTCGCACACAATTCCGAACACCATGCTGTATAACTAACCGGAAAGTATTAGGAGAGCGAATCAGCACAACCGCAAAAATACTGCAAAACCCTACGCAGAAGAAAATTTAGTTTGAGTTTGGAGTATATCTTGGATACTCTTTGATTGCGTTTGTCGCTATGCACATTTGGCGGTGACAAATGTTTAACGCGACCCAACAAGCGACCTCCGTATTGATTTATTTGGGTCCGGAGAGTGGGTGCGTTTGTTATATCATCACCACTTCATATTTATCCCGTGCCTCCCATTGAGGAGCCCCGTGGCAGGGAACCTCCCGATGACAGCTGTCCCCATCCAGCACTGGCCAGCAGGTGGACATCAGGCTGCCAGTAGGGGGCGATGTTGCTTAGTGGTTTCTATATTAAGTAGTTTTTGAGTAATTTGTGAAAGTTTCCAAATTTGGACGTGACACCGAACATAAACGGGCAAGTCTTAGCTTCTTACCTTTTCCTTTAATATGTCGAGGATGCTCATTTCTTCTAAAATATGCTTGATGTTTGTCCGAACTGGATGCAGTTCATGCAGATGATTGTATAGACGTTTCAAATCGTTGTTCAGAAGGTGGAAAGACAATCCAGTGGTACATATCTGGTTATGACAAAAAAAGAAACGTACAGTAATTATATGATACTCATGAATCAAAATAATCTTTGTTTTCCACACTGTAGTACTTTTGCAAAGTGTTCCCTCTGGGGTGTATGCCGGGCAGCAAAGCAAACATTACACACAGCCCTCATGATTCCACCGCCGACCTTCCAATATATGTTGCCTCATTTGCATATACATTACGTACTATTGGCATATTACAATGTTCATGGATGGACTACAGGCGAGTGGATAACATGAGAAAAGTAAACTTATATGAAGCGTGGTAGGAATATTAAAATTGAGTTATCAAATATACGTGTAAGCAGCATACAAAATGTTGTGCTTTTATACACGGTGTGACTCACCTCATCCTCCGCCTTAATATCAGGCAACACGTTTGTCTCTACCTTGTAGTCCAGTGGAAATAATACCATCTAAAAGTACAAAATGTTTGTGGTTATATATTAAACAAAACCCATTTGAGTGTGTATACAATACCATTCTCAACACTGAACATCGTTCATATCCTGCACTACACTGGTGTTCGCAGTTGTGCTGTGCGGCTCTCCGTTGTATTTTTGCGTTGTTACCACGTGATGTTCAGCGTGATGTCCGACGTTTTTTTCTCCACATGCTGGGAGCTTTGGAAATTGAATTCAGCAGCTCAATAGAGTACACGAGTTACTAAATGCAATCCCTTTAAGAAGCTCTGAGCTCGTGGAACGAAACGTCGGACATCATGCTGAACAACATGCAGCGCAACCCAAATACACAATTATTAATAGGTACCGAGTGTCACTGTGATTTAAGTTGCTATTGATATATCAGCCTATTATATCTTCTTCCAATATGAAGTACTTTACTGTTAATTTGTGTTAAAAGACAGTGTAAATTGCATGTGTTTGGAGTGTGGGTTTTCAGTTATGCCTGCACACCATTGCGAATTCAGTCTTAATATTTTCTCGAGTATCAACTATTATGCTTGAATCAAATGTGAATATTCATTTTGGAAGGAGATATTTATTTTATAAATCTGGATTGTTAAAGGAAAACTAATGGCCCTTACATTTCTTGCTCCACTAGGGGGAGCTTTAGAGAGCCATTCTCGGGAGTATTTTGCTTGCTGTTCCACGCTGGAATTACTTAACAAATACGTCAATAATCAATGTGAAGTAACTACACTATTGAGTGAAACAACTTGTGTAGTAGTGAGCTAAGCGATTCTTACCATGTTGTTTTTGAATTTGGCCATCGATACAATGTTCTTAATCATTTCCAGATGACCAGAAGCATCTTCATTGGCAGGATGAGCGTTCGTACCAGGCACTTGTCGGTACTGTAGTAGGAGGAGAGTGAAAAGTGCTGTGGGGAAAGAAAAAGACAAATTATTAGATTACATGACACATTTTTCCGTAGGCCAATTTATGTATGTTAGCGTATATTATTACGATAATGTGATCTCTTTTTACCTATTCAACATTAAGTACATGGATTCGATGTTGTAATGTAAAAAATATCTCAAGTTAAAACATGGCTTTTAAAAAAGTATTTTAATCGAGGTTATTTTTGTTAGGGTTAGAGTAAAAAATATATTTATTACCAATTGGTAAAAAAAAAAAATTTGTTAAACCATTGCTTCCACGTGCAACACAAACATGAAGGAAATGTTTGTAATCCGATGTTATTTGTTACCTTTGGCCAATTTTTTAAAAAATTCTTTATATGCGTGGCGGCTAGAGTCCTCTCGTCCTCTGGCTTGAGATGGCTGCCAACTATAGGTCAGATGATTGCCTGCCACCATTAAGCAATTGGTAATTAAATATAATTTATTTTTTCCTAAAAAGTGTAACATTTTGGAAAGAAAATTTCACGAAAAGAAATTGTCACGCACAACGAGTCTGTGTGCAAAATGTCAGCTCGATTGGATCACGGGAAGTGGGTTAAAAAACGACCGAAAGATTTGCACGGTCGTAAGCGCGCAAGCAAGCAAGCAAGTGAACTTAATATAAAGGATTTTAAAAAAGGAAAGCATTCTCCATCATTATTATAATCTTGAAATGTGTATCGATGCTGATGCCATCCCTCACGGCCCAGTGCTGCTGCCATCCTTTTCATTCCCCGCACATGAACCGATCTCATCGCTGCATCTCTGTGGTGGTCGTCCTCTTGGACGCATTCTCTCCTTTGGCTTCCATTCGATCAACAGCCTCATGGGTCGGCCATCATCCCCACCCAGCCATGCATCCTGCCCAAGCCCATTCAATTTTCTTCGTTGTCAAAATGAGCTCTGCTTTGTCTTTGCTTCAAAATCGGCATGCAAGTTGTCTGTCTCTCAGTGTAATAACAGGTATGCATGTCTTCAAGCTTCTTTACGGAATGTTAAACTTTTGTTCCATTTTTTTAGCCTCCATGTATCTGATTAATGTCAAAGCCAGCAGTATGTACTGATTCAAAATGGTATTCTTCATATACATTGGTTTGCTTCTTTTCATTATCATGTTCCACTTCTTAAAGGCACTCCACCCTGTTTTTTTTCTCTGCGTTATTTCATAACGTTCATGTCTAGCTGCTTCAATAACAGCCCGAGGTACATATATTACGTCATGTGTTTTTACATTGTGTCCCTTCAGCGGTAATTATTATATTGGGCAGGTACTTTAAAAACATGAACAAAAATCAAGCTATAAAAAAGTTGACGTGGAAATTATCTTTGAGTGTCAGCATTTATTTCGTCTCACATATCAGCTGATCGTGATGCTCACTGCTGCACACAAAAGTCCCAAAACTTCCCCGAAATTACAGTTACGCCCAAAAAGTTTTTTTTTAAATCACCTAAATTTTCTCTTTAGAACAGAAACGTATAAAGTCTGATTAATTATAGACTAGATAGGTAAGAAAGTATGTCACACCAACTTCATGTTACATCAGTTTGGAATCAATATCCTTAATACCATTCATCATACAGAGTGATACATTTATAGATGTCCTACTGATTTATAATGACCCTCTATATTTCTTCTTACTGGTAGGAACCTCCTGGTTACACCAGCCCACAGGGGATTATTGTGTCCGTCCGTCCATCATGCATCCAAAAATGGGAGGGGTGGGGCTGGGTGGAGAGGGGAGGGTGGGGAGGGGCTGTGTGGGGAGGGGCTGGGTGGGGAGGGTCGGGAGGGAGGGGCTGGGTGGGGAGGGGAGGGTGGGGACGGGTGGGGAGGGGCTGGGTGGGGAGTGGCTGGGTGGGGAGGGTGTGGAGGGGCTGGGTGGGGAGGGTGGGGCTGGGTGGGGGGTGGGAGGGGCGGGGCTGGGTGGGGAGGGGCTGGTCACCCCATGGTGCCCTTATAAAACTCAACGTTTCACCTACTCACGCCGGCTTGTGCCCACCCTCACAGTCGGGCATATTTGCGGAATACCCCACGTCGCCGTTGACCCTGGCCATTGACCGAGCAACCCAACTTTCCTTCCAGCTCCCTCCACAGGAATGTGTTAACAGCTGACTGAATATTGAGTGTTCAAATGTTGAATTCTTGTATTGAGTTTTGGTGGCAAATGTGTTGAGGCTTGAAATACAATGTTTTCTTTATCATGATTCCCTATTATTGTAGTGGGGTATCTAAATTAATCACCCCCACAATACATTTTGGGATTTATATCGCATCTAAATGCAACCGCTTCTCAACACTATGATACTGTAGAATAGTACTTCTTGACACCAAGGGTAATTGTAGAACCAGACGAAGACGAATATTCTTACTTAAGGCCGCTTGCCGTTTATTCACTCATACACACTCTGGCCACCGTACACTCACTGCTTGTTTATACTCTCTGCACTCGACACTTACACCCATTATGGCGCACGTCAGAACTCTGTCCTTTACGCGGACATCCCGTCAGCTATTTACGCCCGGGTACGACTCCCGTTTGTCTACTCCCCTCGTCTGCCCGGGGCGGGGGATCATCCAACACCACCCGGCGACGAAGTGAGACCTCTACATCTCGAGCCCTTCTTCTTCTGCGGCGGCTGGGATGTCGTGCACGCAGGCTCTCGTTCCTCTCTCTCCCAACGACGGCGACTTCACTCTCCCCAAGGCGACCCAGAACTCACGCACACTCCTGCTTATAGAGCCCCCCTCATTCTGAGTCCACACGTGCTCCCATGGCGCCAACCCCGTGTCCCCACGCGCACACCTGCAGCCCCCAATTGCCCTCACTCTCACAGAGAGACTTGCGCAAGGTTGCATCATGCATGCCCTTGCACGACCTTTCCACAACTCACACTTCCCCGTGCTCGTCCCTCGAGGCCCTTCTCTACAATACCACTGTCAAGCAAAAGATGGCCGGATTGAAAAACATAGACATGCAATGCAGTGTATTTATGCGTAGTATCATATTTTCACTTTTTTTTATATACTGTGTATTTAAAGAAGCTCCAACAGCACATGCAGCGAAACATCAGACGTCATTAATTCATTCAGAAAATTGTAAGCGCACTAATTGGACGTGCATAAAGAGAAGGGTCTTAAGACAATGACGCCGACGTGCAGCGAACTGCGGACGACTGGAGCTGCGACAGAGAATTGTCGTTCGCCTTGTCTGCTTCGAGAGGCCACGGGCTCGACAGGGAGGCCACTTGATTCAGATCGTGCCAAACAACACGTGGTACAACCCGCAAATAGCTACGCAGTCACTGCATTCATCACCCAAAGCCATCCGAACAAATCTGTCCGCCCACCGCTTGCTGTGACAGTTTTTTTGTGTGGAGCGTAGCATTGCCTTCAGCATGTCTGGTTTTATAGCAGAAGAAGTCAGTCCGGATTTGGAGGGGGGGGGGGATATCTAACTGTTTATCATCACATACAGTATTCAACTTTGTGCTTGAAAAGTCTGTGGAACATCGACAGTTGATTATACCAATCCATAACTACACTATCTGCCTTGGATGTTTGTAAAAAAAAGGCATTTTGCTTAATTCATGTAAAACGCATAAGCACTAATTTAAGGATGGGTTGTCCAGTGGTTGCAAACGCACGAGAGCGTCGCGTTCCTGCAGTTGGTAAAGACGATGTGAAAATGTGTGTCCTGTGGACAGCCAAAGGGCTTCACCAAGGAAATGTGCAATGTTGAGCCAACGTTGGTATGTGCTTGAAAACATTGGACTAACTTTGGCCCAACGTTCCGTGATTACTGGGATCCATTGTCTCACGGGTTAAGACATTCATTCAAATTTGGCATTCTAGGGATTTAAATACTCATCATTGCTGTGACCGTTTAGTTTGCTTCAATCTGTAGTAGCAGCAGCTTTCAATTGACTGCACTATTTTCTACTCTGCAATATGCAGTACTACTTTACAGTGTATGTAAAAAAAACGTCTACAGGAATGTAGGCTGCAAGCAGCAATGGCAGAATGAAAACAGAATGTGTAGATGACTACGGCCAAACACTACACAATTGTCGCCTTATTTTTGCTCGTCAAGAGGAATTCCCGTACAAATATACCAAAAAAGAACCCGGGAAAATCCTGTGCAGCAGTGTGGCTGACTCAGCTCTCGCTAAGAACTTTCCAGAATGCGGCCACCATGACATCCAACGACAGAACTACTCCCCGTCGGATCCCAGAGATGACACTTGAATCGTTTGTTTGCATGTATTTTCCAACAAATGACAGGCTATTTTTTTTATCTTACCAGGTAAGGCCCATGAAGCTATATAGATATTTTTCAGAAGCGACCTGGCCATAAATGATAGCTGAACGAAGTGGCCTTTGTGGACATTTATAGCAGCCAAATACCCGAAACGCCTGTTTCTAGTTTCTAAATGTGTGGTGAGGGGGGGGGAACCGGACAACCTGGAGAACAATCTACGTGACCACGGAGAGAACATGCAAACTCCAAATATACAGCAAGGTAGTCAACATCTCACCACCGTGGCACCCCAGGCTACATAAAAATGAAAGCAAGAGTTTTGGTCGACTGGTCTAGTTATAGAAATATTTTCTGAAATATTTGTTTTCATCAAGAGTGTCCAGGGTGTTAACTGACACTTGCGTAGCTAACACGTAACGACATTTATAATCTATAAATTGTACAGTATGGATTTTTGCAATGACTATCACACCCAGTCAAGCAGATAAACAAACACATACATAATTAAGTGGTGCACACCGCCGTTTCGGATTGAATGTAACCTAGCCATGACAAATGTAAAAAAAATAGCCCGTGGGCGTTGGTCGAAGGGGGTAAAGGTTCCAATAGCACTTTCAAGTGGTGTTAGCTATGGATGGGCATCAATCAAGCTAAACTCAACTTTTTATTTTACCAGGTAAGGCCCACTGAGCTATATAGTTTTTTTTTTCAGAAGCGACCTGGCCACAAATGATTGTGCAACAAAGTAAATGGCTTATCATGTGGAAATGTATAGCAGCCGAATGCTCTGAACGCATGTTTATAAATGTGGAGGGAAAAACCGGACGACCCGGAAAAAAATCCTCGTGACCACGGGAAAAAAATGTAAACTCCAAATAATACGGGTGTCATGGTCAGCGATTGAACCTGCGACCTCCTGTATACCAGGCGAGGTAGTTAACATCTCGCCACCACGGCACAAACATAGGTGTCAAGGTTCACCGTACAACTCGATAACCCTCTAACTCTTATAAAAAAAAATACTGGGACAATTTTCATGAGCAGCAGAACACCAACGCAATTCGATTACAAATTGCGTTTGTGTTCTTTTGATTCTGTCAAAAAATTGACGAGGAAAATGGAAAGCTTTTCTCGCTGATGCAGTGTCACATCATGCTTGTATAATAACAATGTTTGCGGGTGGCAACAATTTCCAGACTTCAAATAAATTTTACCCTTAGGAAATTGGTTCGATGTACAATGGTACTTTTTTAGTGTTTATGTTATAAGTTATTCTTCTTAGTACTTATCTCATTAAGTGTAGTTTACTTTCTGAGTCGACTTTCTCCAGTATTCGATCTATCGCCATCACCACAGTAACGCGACCCCCGTTGACAAATTCTCGTCATGTCTTCTTTGCTCTGCCATTCTCTCTCTTTTCCTAAACTTTCATGGTCTGAACTTTATTTAAAATGTAGTTTACTGACATCTTGGCCATGTGTTACAACCATATCTGTCTATCCTTACTCAACTTCTCCTCTCTCGACGATATTACTTTTACTCGTGCCACTTCTGTGTTGATGATATTTTCAACTGACTCCACAAATCTATCTCAGCAATATCATCTCTGTCACCCTTATGTGTTCCAGACCATTTTTCTTTCCCAGAACTCTGAGCCATACATGAACACTTGTGTGATCACCGTCACTGTGCACTACGCCTTTAAGTTTTATGTTATTACAGTACAGGTTTATTAAATATCGGTATTGCATAAACACAAATATTCATATCACTTAAAAATTAATTGGAAGAATGTGTTTCCAACACTGTAATTATGCTTTTTAAAATGGTGTGCCCAACTATACTGCTGGGTGGACAGAGGCCAGATTTATTTAATAAATACTCTCTGGTTCTTTCGGTAAAGTCCCGTAGATAGAAAATAATAATAAAATAACACGACGTTTCTGTCGCAACACAAGTGTCCGTCATCAGGGAGATTGATTTAAGAAACTTGGCCACCGAATTTAATCACTGGTTGATCAAACGACCTAACGTCAGTTTTTATTTCCTATCACTTGGATTCCGTGGGCATGTACGGCTAACATGACAAAACATGTTTCGCGCACAAACCCGCAAAAACAAAGTCATAGGAATATATCTGCTCCAGGTTAGATACAGTAATTTTCCCATACACTGTCATGCTTGCACGTGCCAGATTGACGACGCAAAGGGGCCGTGATGAATGCATAGATAACCAAGGTACCCAACATTCTTTCATGTTTAACACGTAGGCTTTCGCGACCAATATTATTCATAATCAAACGTTTTTGGGTTTAGATCGCGTTATTTATAAATGTGTCGTAACCCTCCACCACCCGACACGGCCAATCAGTAAAAATGTGTCACGTTGACAAAGACAAATAGTTCACTGCTTTAGCCCACCGGTGTGTTGTAAATGTTGTGGCTTCAACACACCGGTGGGCTAAAGCAGTGAACTATTTGTCTTTGTCAACGTGACACATTTTTACTGATTGGCCGTGTCGGGTGGTGGAGGGTTACGACACATTTATAAATAACGCGATCTAAACCCAAAAACGTTTGATTATGAATTCTTTCTGTTCCAATTTCCATGCCCAGCCATTTAAAATAAGAAAAAGCCTGTGTGCAGTTATAACGACGCCTTTTGTTGTGACGGTGTAATGGTTGGCAGGTTGAGTTGTCAATCCAGAAGTCGCCTGTGTAATCCCCTCGCATGGCAGTAAAGAAAAGTTAATGGTGCAAGCCACTGCCTGGCACAGAAACCACCACCACCACCATGAGGAGCTCTTGAGAGCCCCTCTCGGTGATATTTAGCCTACTCTTCCACGCTGGCCAGATGTCTTGAAAGAGATGGAGAGTTACCCACACTTTACTCCACTACACGTGATCTGCCGATCGACTAAATGACACTTGCTGGGTGGACTGAGGCGGGATCGAAATGCCAGCGTGCTAACCGCCGCACATGACGGCAGTATTATATTTCCTACGAATATGCAATGCAACACGTTCTGCAAGGCAGCAGTGTCTGGACATAAATATATATTTCACTTGGCTACGTCTCGTTCCCTGGCGGATTCAAGCGAGATGAACGCTGCAGTGAGAAGACAATCAGCAAACATCTGGCGAATAGATTTGACAACACACAAAGAAAGATGAGCATTGCGTGTACAGAAGCTCGTATCCAGACCACAGAGTTAAAAATAACTAAATGTGTATGGATATTTTGTTGTTTCGACCACCAACTCAAGGAGTTGAGAAAATGTGGTCATCCTTATCTCAATGTACACGATGAAGAGGCCCATAGTGTAAATGTGTAGTGTAAACTAGGATTTGATGATGTTTTAGGAAGTTTAAATCTAATATTAAACAATTGGGCTTGTGTTATTACCTCATTATGTACTCTGTTGAACTGTAATATAACACCTCTGTTATTTTTACAGCACAATAGAACCCCACTTTCGTTATCATGCTTAAATACCACTAAAATAGAACACACAGAAGTATCGTTATCATGTTTACTTTTAAGACCTAATCTCCAAAAGTATATCCACCCCTCATAAACAACATTGATTACAATTTATAACGTAAACAAAAACGGACCTTTTAATTTGTAAGACTGTAAACTTCTGCAACTGATGCAAAAGTAGTTTTGTTTATACAAATATCTGACCGAGGTAAAAGTTGTTTCAAAGTTTGATATTCACATACAATTCACAACTACTGTATATCACATTGACTTTTAAACCATAATGTGTATGAAGCTGGCCAAATGCGAATAGTATCACAACCTTTGCTTACGTACAAAATTAGTGAGTGTGCTCAGAATTTGTGTGTGCTGTTCGTCGTGTGTATATTCAATAGGTGCTTGCTAACAGCACTTGCCCCAAGTCTGCTATATGAGGGATTCATAATAAAGGTTTTTGGGTTAGATCGCGTTTCTATGATTGTGTCGTTAACCCACTACCACCCGACACACCCAACTCGTAAGATTTGTCACGTACACGAAACATGCCAATTAGTTACTACTTTAGAACACTCGTGTGTTGGAGAGTAAACCCACATTTTACAATTTGAGTAAGGCATTTCGCTGGCGGTGACTCGAACCAGCTTAACATGACAACCCTTACTAATTGGCTGTGTCGTGTGGTCGTGGTGGGTTCACGCCATATTATATTTACGCTGATCTAACTGCAAAAAAACCTTTACTACGGCTCGCGAAAACTTACGTGTTGTATAGTGTTGAGAATAGTGTGTGAGTGTGTGTGAGTGTGTCGCGACTTGGTGTGGCGGTGGTGGTGATGGGAGCCCCAAAGCGGAGTGGCTCACGCAACTCGCGTAACGAACCCACAACGACCTCAGTTCGATTCGGCCAAGGTCAGTGGCAAAACAAATATCCGAAGCGCTCCGGTGCACGCATTTACCCTCGCCCGGTGCGGTGTGCATGACAGATCAAGCGCGACCCGGGGCGTGGTTGCTGACCGCACAATACAAGATGCGTGTTCGCTCACGGCAACTTTGCTCCAACACTCTCAACAGGCGTTTACGGGTGATGGGGAGAGAATGTTTCATCCCCGTGTGGTTTGTGCTCGTTTTCGTGAGCTGCGTGCGCTCAAAGTCGCGTTGGCACCTACCTGCAGGCAAGCGGGGACGTCTGCATCCACCTCGGCTCTTCAGCAGCATCGTAGCGGCTGTGACGGCGGTTGCGAAGTGAATTGCGGTGTGTTCTGTTGGTCGCCGTTTAATTGTTGCAACGTGCCACTCACTACTTGACTCGCTTGCTTCTCTCTGGCTTGCTGCTCTTGTGCGCGGTCCTGTGTGCTGCTCCAGCCACGCACTTTCACTTCCTCCAGAGCCACCGCTCTCTCTCTCCACGTGCGCGCCCTTATGTAGTGGAGGGTGTCACATGATAATGGGGATTTCCCCCACAATGTCCATTCACTTTCCCACTCCTCCTTTTCCGGGGATAATTCATATTTTTATTCTTGCAGTGCGAGAGTATGGCAGCTGCGGATTAAGGGCACTCGTCGTCTCTTAAGCATGCCAGGGTTGTTCAAATCCGCGGTGGGTGTGTTTTGTTGCAATACTGGGAATGTTATGAGCTATTTGTGTGTGTGGTTTGAGTTGTGACTGCGCTGTGAATTGTGTGTGTGTGTGTGATTTGAGTTCTGTGCGTGTCTGTGCTGTGAAGTATGAGTGTGTGATTTGAGTTGTGTGTGATTTGAGTTGTGTGTGAGAGAGAGAGTGCGATTTGAGTTGTGTGAAAGGATTGTATATCTAGTGCCCCCGGGGTGACGAGATGTGAACTACCTCGTCTGGTATACAGGAGGTCGTGGGTTCGATTCCGACCCTGATGCCTCTATATTTGGAGTTTGCGGTGTTTGATAATAGGTATTTCCCCCTTTTATCTGGCAACAAAACAGGTGTTAAGATGTTAAAACACCAAACTGAAACCTTTTTCAAGGAATCATGTCTGCATTAACCACAATGCTCGTGGTCAGAATGCAAACAAAAAACATACTCTGATAATAAATGCATTGTCCTTGAAACTGATTGGTCCACACCAGAGACAGCTTTCTTTTGAGCCTCGTCTCAAACACCTTTTGGCGCTTCTGGCTAGACCAGAGGATGCCTTTTTGAGACGAGGCTCGAAAGAAAGCTGTCTCTGGTGTGGACCAATCAATTTCAGATATCATCAGAGTGTGTTTTTTGTTTGCATTCTGACCACCAGCATTGTGGTTAATGCAGACATGATTTCTTGAAAAATGTTTCAGTTTGGCGTTTTAACATCTTAAAACCTGTTTAGTTGCCTGAAAAAAGGGGCAACCCCTATTATCATATTTTGGTACTGGGAAAGGAAGTCCCATGATGTTTGCAGTGTTTCTCTCCCTGTGATCGCATGGATTTTTCTCCAACTGTTCCGGGTTTTCCCTCCACATTTAGTATTTGGCTGCTATACATTTCCACGTGATAAGCCACTTCGTTGCGCTATCAATTGTGACCAGGTCGCTTCTGAAAAAGAGCTATACAGCTGAGTGGGGCTTAACTAGTAAAATAAAACATAGTTTAGTAGGACTGTGAGTTGATTCCTTTTTCTAGGAGTGACCCTGGATGCGTGTGCATTGGAATCAGCTGAAATTAAGGAAACAATGCAGATGTGAAATAGCCTTCTCAGCGGACCTAAGCTTAGGAAACACCACTGAAACAAATTTCGATTTAAAGCTTTCGTGACTGCAGGGATTCATCTTCTTGGTTCTTTCGGTAAAGTCACGTAGAAGGGAAATAATAAAATAATAAAAAATAAAACATAATTAAATCATTCTCACGACGTTTCGGCCACAACGCAAGCAGCCGTCCTCAGGTGAAGAACTGGTCTGTCGGGAAGACAGCGTCTGAATGAGCACGAGGCACGAGACGCTGTCTTCCCGACAGACCTGTTCTTCACCTGAGGACGGCTGCTTGCGTTGTGGCCGAAACGTCGTGAGACGCTGTCTTCCCGACAGACCTGTTCTTCACCTGAGGACGGCTGCTTGCGTTGTGGCCGAAACGTCGTGAGAATTATTTTATTACGTTTAATTTTTATTATTTTATTATTTCCCTTCTACGTGACTTTACCGAAAGAACCAAGAAGACCACTGAAACAGCGAGCGTGACCACACTCAGCGTCCTGTGGTAAGAAATGTGGTTAACTAGTTGTGTTCCCGCAGCATGCTCGTACAATTTCACTTTCCTCTTATTTCACGTTATGTAGGCGTATTCGAAGCACACTATCTGGTTCTATCTCCCGGCGTGTCAGTTGAAACAATGGGCGCTTTTCTTCAATCCTATGACCTCTGTTTATCCAGCGGTATAATAGGGTGCGGTAAAGAATGTACACTGCAACCTTTTCAGAGACGTCCAGCTAGCGTGGAAGAGAAGGCCAAATACCCACGAGAGGGGCTTTCGAGAACTCTTTCTAGTGCCAGCAGTGGCGTGAGAAGGCAATTTTCAGGTCTGCTCTTTAACCTTTATAAGTAAACGCATGATTGTTTCTGATAAAGTTCATTATGCAGCGTTTAATTAGTAAATTAATAATACACGAGTGCGTGAAAAGTGCTTAGCTACAGCCTGGTCAAACCTCGAAAATTTCCACGCAGGGTAAACCACATCCTTCACACGTGTCTACTCCAATCTACCAGCGACCAAGACTGTTGTGCTGTTGTCCTTTCCCCCGCACCTACAATCGTGTTACGGTGAAATGTTGAGCTCGAAATTGTGCCCTGTGCTTGCAGTTTTCAAAGTCTCGTTTCCACGTTGCATCACACTTTGAAAGGCAATTGTAGAAAATGACACGTTTTTCCATTACGTGTTTTCAAATACGTGGAACACAATATGGCACAATGATTGAATACAAAACTCATCGTATCTATGGTATGCAGGAAGTCGTGGGTTTGATACAGACTCTTGACACATGTGTTGAGGTGTGTAACACGACACGAAGGCAGACGTTGTCGGGGCTGACGCCAAATGGTTTATTAAGGGAATTCGCCTCGCTTTTGGGAAGGGCCAACACAGATCACTGGCTAAGCTCAATCTCCCCTGGGGAAAGGGTACTGGGGAATCCAGACGCCTTCCAGGCTAATGGGCTCTTCCCACAGCGCTGACCAGCAGTTCATCCAACTCGGCCAGCCGGATAAAGATGCCCCCCCTAGCCTCGTGCTCTTTCTCCCTTACCCTGGGTCCCCACTTCCCCACCGCTCACGTTCCCGATTCCCCGCAAAGACCTCGTCTACGTCACCGGTCCCCCCTCAAATACCCCGAGGGGACATGACGTCACTCCTCCCGAGGCGAGTGACATCCCGTCATCACTCTACTCCTCAACACATGCATGTATTTGGATTTTGCGCGGATTTTTCTCTCGGTCCTCCGGGGGGTTTCCCTCCCCCGTTTATAAACATCTGTTTCGATTATGTGGCTGCTAATATAAATTCCCACATGATATAATCCACTTCATTGAGCTATGCTGTGTGGCCAGGTCGCCTCTGAAAAAGAGCTAATAGCTCAGTGGGCTTTACCTAATAAATACAAGTTTAGTTTAGTTACTCTTCTTATAATCAGAGTAACTAAACTCAACTTTTATTGCGGATAATTGCACTAAATTATCCGTGGGAGCTGTAGTGTCCGTGAAAACGCATTATCCACAACCCTATTTTTCCTCTTATGTGCAATTATCCGTAAATTTCCCGTGGATGAATGGAGTAAATTCACAGACACCACCGTGGATAAGAGGAGTTAGGTATATGCATACAGTACACGCTTTAAGATATAGATAATACATAATGGTGTTCGAATATACATTAACTATTTGTACAACAAGTAATTAAGAAAACACTACACACATTTCCTGTAATTTACGTTTGTTGAATAAATATTACGTTATCAGTTCCGCATCAAAAGCGAATAATCCACTCCTACTGCGAATGAGCCTAATCCATACCTGGAGTCACATCTGCATTTGACAGTTGCATTCTCTACAAGTCACGACGATATTGTCTCTCGTCTGACCTCTTTACACCCACCTGAAAGATCCAAAGAGTATACATTCCTGCAGTCACGAAAGCTTTAAGTCAAGATTTCGTCGATTACATTTAAAATTGCCCATTGAGATGACGCCATCGATGCTCTTATAGAACTTCGATCATAAACAAAGACGTTCATAATCTATAATCTCTTTTTAGCTCCATCGTAGACAAATTCATAATTTTAAGCCAAGGCTTCTCGAAAAGGTGCTTCTCAGCTTTTTTACCAAGTAACCCCCCCCCCAACCAGGATATAAACTTTTGACCATTCGGTGTTTTTCTCAACGGCATAGTCAGCTCGGATGACTAGTGATTTCAGTCATGGTGACGACTGAGAAACTTTATTGAATTTTAAAAGAAAACCCTATTTCTTAGGAATTCTCCTCTGTGAAATAAAAGGAAAAAACGTTGCAGCACTGCGATTCTCGCTTACCGCAGACTTGGAGGAAGTGCCCCCACCATTTAATTCAACATGTGAGTGCTTAAAACAGTGACAATAGTATGAAAAGCGATGATAAATGATAGCATAATATTCTTTGGGTCGGTAAAGTCACGTAAAACAAATTTCTTTTTTTTACAAAATTTGTTCTACGTCACTTTACCGAAAGACACAACGAATATGAACTCCTGCAGTCACGAAAGCTTTAGGTCAAGATTTATAGTAAAATAGTTTTTAATCCCAGGAATAGTTGAAGCTCTTGTTGTTTTCGAGTCTAAGCAATGTCTAAGGCTCTAAGCCATCCTAAAAAAAATGACAGTGTGCTTCTCAGTACAGTACTGTAGTTGTTTTAGTTCATTCATATATCTAGTGATATTTTTGTCCCATTAGCCTTTTCAAACAGCGTTGTCAGGTGGTTCATTCGACCCCAGAACAGTACAGGGGTTATTTTGATCAGAGTTTGGGGCCTTGTTGAATGTAGTAGACACTCTTGGTGCAGTTTATGTCTATTACTATATAGTGAATTTGTTGTTGTTGATCCTTATCTTCCACTGGCATGTTTTGTTTTGGCAGGGTTGATCGTGATTTACCACCTCAAAAATAATAATACTGAATAAAAATGCCATAACATGTATAAATACTAATACTTTCGCCAACATAATTCCGAATAATAATATTCTCAAGATAGTCAGGGTCAGCTCCCTGTCGTCAGCACGTTCTTGCCAGCACTGCATAGAACATGGCTGATTACTATGACTGTGAACAGTTAATAAGCGTGCGTATTCAGGATATTACTGCACATGACCCACACACATGACCCCAATTTGTACAGGATGTGTCCATTA